CGCTCTCACCGCCGCCGCCGCCGCGGTGGGGGGACCCGCGGGGACCCGGGGGCTCACCGCCGGCGGCAGTTTCGCTTCTCGGGCCTCCCCGCATTCAAACCGGGGCCGGACTTCGCGGAAATTGCATCACGGCGGCCCCGCCCCGCCCCGCCCGCCGGCACCGGGGGGAGCAGGAGCCGGCACGGGCACGGGGAGGGGGAGATCGGCACCGGCGCCGACGGGAGCCTCAACCGGCACCGGGACCGCCACCGGGACGGGGGAGCCGGCACTGGACAAGAGGGACAGGCAGCAGGGGGAAGGGGCACCAAGGGGAGCGGGCAGCAGCATTCAGGGCAGCAGAAGCCGGTACCGGTACCGGTAGCGGCACCGGCGGGACAGCATCACCCGCATCGCGCAGCGAACGGGACGGGCGCTCCTGGGGGTACCAGCCTCACACCCCGGTCCCGTCCCACCCCCGCATCCCCGCGCATCGGGGGCCGAGTCTCCCCCCGATCCTGTCCCCCCCAAGTGCACAGGGGCCGCTCCCGGGGGCGCTGCTCACCCGCAGGTCGGGATTCCCCGCGCTCAGGTTCGGTTCAGAGCCGGGAGCGGCGGCACCGTAGTTTTAAGTGAATATTGAGCGGCAGCTCCGATCCTCAGCCCGGCGCCCCCGGCAGCTCCTTTTTAAGGGGGCTCGGGGGCCGGGGGTGGGGTGCAGAGCGCTGCCCTCCTTTCTGTTCATCATTACTTTCGTTTTCCGTTCGGTTCCCTGCCTGGCGCGATGCACCCGCTGCAGAGCTCAGCCTGGAGCCAAAAAAACCCTCAAACCCCAAATCCACCCCCAGCAGCAGCCGAGTCTCATTTGCATAGTGTTTCCTGGGGCAGCACCGACAGCCGGGGGTCAACACCCCGCACCCCAGTTTGTGGGCACGGGTTACCACACAAGCAGCATCAGCTGATGCTCAGAAGTGAGGGAACCTCAGCACCGGACTGTGGAGCTCCTTCTCAGCCCATTCGCGCTTCACCAAACCCATCCCACAACAGCTTAGCGTTTCATCCCAGCCCTCCCCCTGTGCGGTTTGGTGACGGGGCAAATTTGCGGTAATACACACAAAACCAAAAAACCTTGCAACCGGATATGACCCCAAAACACACACATCCCAGGAAGCTCCTCTAACAGCCCCAGCCCCAGGAAACCATAACAGCAGCCACATCTCACCAGCCGGGACACAAGGCTTAAGAGAGCCCTGACCTGTAAAGCAGGTGCCGTGCCAAACACTGCGGTCCAGCCCCAGCATTCCCACCTAATGGAATTGTCTTCATGCCAGAAGCCAGCTGCAAGCCCCGGAAACAACCAGGGAAAACGAACACACCTCCAGCTACAAGTGGCTGTAAAAAATCGCAGGCCCCAGAGGCAAAGTGTCCCTGCTGACAGGGACGCTGTTCAATCCTTCCAGCTATTGATGGGCATGTCAGTGCCACCTCAACACAAAGCCACCCTTAGCGACAAAAAAAGTTCTTCCTCAAAGCAAATGGGAGGAGGAAACACAAAGCCAACCTGCGGGGCACGGCAGTGGAGCAGGAAGGAAGGAGGGGCAGAGACCAGTTTCAGGCACGTTTGTCAACACCAGTGGAAGGAGGAAGAGAAACGATGTTTTTGACCTTCCTGCTTTGTGCAGTCGCAGCCACTGGGTGCCTCAGAGGGAGCTCTCACCTTGCTCCCAGCCAGCAGCACCCTGCAGAGCCAAGGAAAGGGTTTTCCCACCAAGGAGAGGAGCGGGGCAGCCCAGGCCTGTGGGTGCTGAACGGACCCCACCGGAGCAGAGGGCACTGTATGGATCCCAGCAGAGTACAGTGTGGCTGTGGAAACCAGGCATTCCTGGGCAGCAAAGCCACCAGGGCTGTGCAACAGCACCCTGGTCACTGCTGGACCCGTGGCAGGATGGCCACCTGCCCGGCTCTGCTGCACTCTGTGCTCTGCCAGCGAGGAGCAGTGGGTGGCTCAGCCTCACAGCAGGATCTGACCCTATGGAGCCCCTGTGCTCAGTGTTCCCATCCAGGAAAGGGCTCCCCAGCTTTGTCCTTGCAGCTGCCATGGGAACTCTTATGGTTTGAGCAGCACCAATCCCATCCCTGCCTGGGAAGGAGTGACCAAGCAAAGCCCAGCCCCGGTATCAGAGTGGTCCATAGTGATGGAGTCCATCCCCATTTGCTACTGCCTGGGGCAGGAATCACCCTCTCTGCAGCCCTGACTCTAAACCACAGCAAAGCTTTCTGTGACAGCACCAGACAACAGTGAAAAACAAACAAAATACCTGGCACTACTCCCCTGAGGTGCCCGAGCCAGGACGGGCAGTGCCCAGCTCACTCGAGCAGAACAGCCTTGGCACTGAGGCTTCACAGGCGGGATATCTGGCGGTTTCACTGATTTTACAGGTGGGATATTTTCCCTAGAAGCAAACAGCTCTCACTGCGTTATATAAAGCTTCCGGCCCTGCTCTTCACAAGGAGCAGCGGAGCAGCGCAGGGAGCCGCGGCTCTGCCGTCCCTCTGTCGGGGGAAGCCACGGCTGGAGCAGGGAGGAGGCAAAGCAGCGTCACCACATCCACAGCATGAGGGCGGGGGAGAACCGAAACCCAGGATCTGCCGGTTTTAGACAAACAAACACCGAGTCGAAAGCGCTGAGTTTCGGTTTCCATTCCTGAGGCGACACGGCCGACGGTCACAGAGCGGCTTCCCCAGGAAACCATCGCTGCTGCCCCCCGCCCCAGCCCTTTGTGGGGCCCTTTGTGCGCTGCGCCCCCCGCTCCTCCGAGGGAGCTGCTGGGAGCTGGGAGAGCCTTCCCGAGAGGATGCTGGGGCATCTCCTGTCCCGGCAACAGCCCTAACCTGCCCGGAGAGACGCAGAGAGTGGAATCGGGGATTTCTCACAGCCCCCGCTCCCTGGCACCCCACAGGCAGCTGCCAGGCAGGACCGTGGCAAAGCTCTGCCCACGGTGCTGCCGGGAAGTGGGAGCCTCTGCTCTTTCCCAAAAGCTGCACTCTGCTCCCGTGGATACCTGGAGGAGAAAATGCAAGGGGCTGAGTCTCCATCACCGCGCAATCCAGGGGAAAGCAGGGATCTGGCATGAGTCATCTGCAGCCCTTACATAATTTTGTGTCTGGGCGCGGGTCCTCTACACCCGGCTGCGAGCAGAGCAGCCCTGGGCTCCCCACGGGAGGAAAGGGGAGCAGATCTCAGCCTGAGCACCCAAGAGAGACCAAGAAGACCCCAGGAAGGCGGTGCCGGCAGCACCAGGCTGATAGGATGGGCGCTGAGAAGCCCAGTCCTGCCCAGGGACCCCGGGCTCACAGAGCAGGTTGACCCGCCGGGATCCACAGCAGTGTCCCAGCTGTGGGGCGCACGACACCCACGGCAGCCTTGGGAGCCCACAGTGGGAGGTGCAGCCCCCCAGGGGGGGGCTTGGGGGGCTCTCCCTGCAGAGCCCCAGAGCTCAGCACCGTGGGGAGGGACAGCTGATCCACAGGTGGATGTGCTCTCCACAAGCCATGCTTTACCACCCCTGCTGAAACCAGGGCTGCGAGACCAGGATCTACTGCCACACTCATATGGGACTTCCCCCCGGCCAGGGAATGTCGCCAGATCGCCCACGGCCGCATCCAGCCCAAGGCCACTCATCCAGACACCGATAATCTCTGCACACAACTCTCTGCAGACAACTTCCCCTCTTTGCTTTTCCTTCTCAGCCCTCATCCTACCGCGAGTTGCTGACTCTGCAAGCCGCCAGCTGCCCTCGGCCGGGCGGGGAAGCACCGCGGCACAGCCACCCAAGGGTGCAGCACTTCACCGGGGCATCCCTGAACGTCCCCGGCGGTCTCTCGAGGGAGACGGGGCTGTCCCACCGACACCTCCCTGACTGGCTGCCCCGAGAGCTGCTGCAAAGGGAGGGGAGGATTGCACCAGCCCAAATCTGCCTGCCGAGCTTTTATTGCTTTGGGAGCTGTTTACATCCCAAGGAAGCGCTGCTTCGCAGGGCAGAGTACACCCACGCTGGGAATGCTTTTCCGATGATGCGATCTATAGTCTCCAGGGCAGGTAAAGGTGCACGGAGCCAGAGCAGAGCTGCTGCCTCCTGCTTACTCTGCTCTGCCCCGGCCCTTGCTGCCCACTGCTGCACCACACCAACACAGAGCTGACACAAATCCCATCTCATCCCACACTCCACTGCCACCTCTCAGATACCTAGAAGGAGCCAGGAGGTCTCTCCAGCTGCCCCCTTTCCTCCTGATCATTCCCTCTCCCACAGACCCCGGATAACCCAGATGAATTTGGCCAAAGCACAGAGGGCTGGAGTAGTATGCTCAGCCCACAGCTCTCCAGGGCTGGGCAAAGGCACCACAGCTTTTCAGCCCTGCCGCTGCTGAGGAAAGGTGTCCCTGTGTTGCAGGACACTCACTCACCACTGCAGCACAGGAAAGGGGGAATTCAGGCTGGAAACCCACCTCAGGTGTGGCTCAGCACTGCTGCTCACGCTGGAGGCAAAAGGCAGCTCAGGGTGATCACAACCCTTTATATGTCCTCGGTCTGACATGCTACTGCTGTCCCAAGTACAGAGATAGGACAGCGATATCTTAGCAGCAGCCAGCTGGGAGGGAAAAACCTCTGATAAGGCAGGACTCCTCCTCATCAACTGCGGCCTCAGCTGAGTCTCGGCCAAAACGAAACAAAATCTAATGCTTCAGAGGAATAGATCACTTTTCTTCCTGATTACGTGTCAAAACTCTCCTAACCACAGTTGGGGACCAGTGGTTATCAGCACTGGGTGCAGTCACGTCCCAGCCGTGCCATGGACAACCAGACTTTGGAGCCATACTTCAGGTTCCTTGCACACCCACGGCCAGAGGAACACAGAGGACACGTACATTTATATTTAATAAAGTGTGTTCCTGTCCTGCCTTAGCCCCATTTCACAATCCCAGCTGTTATACCTGGACATAGAAAACACAATACACCAGCAACATTCTTTCAAAAAAATATTTATTACTCAATAAAGTGACCTGTCGTTGCTGCTGTTGTCAGATCAAGTTTGGAGAAACCCCAACACTCCAAGCACCCGACTCCTTCCAGCCAGAGACACTGTGAGACACACAGGCCCTGGCATGGGACCTGGTGAGAGTCACAGCAAGTGGGGTGGCTGAAGGAGAACTGGGGGGTCGACCACCCCGTTACAGAACGGCTGCTTAAACCCAGCAGGGAGGGGATGGCAGAGTCCGGCTCCCATGGGTGCTGGGGACTGGGGACAGCAGGGTCTGCCCTCGTGAGGAAGTGTGAGCTCCTTGGAGCACAGCCGTGGGGCTCAGCTCTGCGCGCTCCGCAGCACGGCTCTGCCATGCAGATCGAGCTTCCCAACCAGGGCTTTGCTTAAAAATCGCCATTGGCTTAAAAAAATCCCAATAATGGATTTTTTTTTTTTTTTGAGAAAACTAGAAAAAGACCCTAAATCCTCAGAAGTCACAGCTCTTCTCAGTCCTCTGGGTTCCTGTCTTCCTGCTTCTTCCCCAGCAGACCTGGGCAACCACCATATGCCCACTGTCACAACAGCTCCCACTTGTTCCTGCCACCCAAAGCCAGTGTCACGCACAAAACCCAACCTCCACGGGGCTGTGCCCATGCTGCCAGAGCCCTTCCTGGTGTCAACGATTGTGCACATCCACAGATTTCCTGCTCTTGGCACCCCTCTCCACTCCTGCAGCCCCTAGGGACGGGGAGCAGCCAGCTCCCTGCACATCAGACCTCTCGGCAGCTTCCTTTTGCTACCACCTTCTCCCTGCTCCTGCCCACTCCTCCGATGGACACTGCTCCAGCTGTGCCAGCCAACAAGGCTGGGCTGATGACCCAGAGCAGGAAAACTACTCCAAGAGAACAGGGGAGGAAAGCTCTATAAAAAAATAAGCTCTTTTTTTCTTCCCTCCTCCAAACAAGGCAGAGCACGTCTGCCTTTCCCTTCTCCAGGCATCCTTCCTCCCCCCTCCTTCCCTCTGACCTGAACCTCCTTGCTCCCAACACGAGCTGCTCCGAGTCTTGTTAGCCCGTGCCCCTCATGACACCACTCCTCGCCCCACAGTGCAGCCAGAGAAGAGGCAGTTCCCCCCAGAGTGGCACGGCCAGCGTCCCTCCAGGCAAGTCCCCCCTCTCACTTCTGCTCCGCCTCATCAGCCACTGCGGTCACCTCGATGGCGGCGGCAGCGTGCTCGTCCCCGGCAGCCTCGGTGGCACCGGACGGGACAGTCACGACCGTGCTCCCACTGGGAGCTATTTGTGTCACATTCTGGATGGTCGTGCCAAGTCCTGGGAGCGTCAGGAGCTGGAAGGGGCTCACCACCTTCACCACCGTGCTGCCGTCCTGGACCGCAGCCGTGCTCAGCACCGTCAGGTTGGAAGCGTCCGGGTGGATCTCCACCGTGCCGGGGAAGGTGGAGCCGGCAGAGGCCAGCACCGTGTACCCCCCCAGCAGAGGGGAGGCCGGGGAGCTGGCAGCGGGGGGCTGGGCAGGGCTCTTCCCCAGCACCGAAGGAGGGAGGGCCGAGACCACTTTGCCAAGAGGGAGATTGGCAATCTGGGACACTGGCACGCCGGGGGTGACAGTGAGCTGTGCTGGCTGGGACAGGACTTGGGAGGTGATGGCAGCTGGTCCGGAGGTGGCCCTGGTCAGCCTGGGGCGTTTCAGAGGCGTGGGAACAGAGACGGGCGTGAGGGTCATCAGGACGTTGTTGAGATGCTGTGATTTGTGCTTCAGCTCCTTTGCTCGCTTGCGGTGCTCGTCACACTGCTGCTCCAGAGCTGGAGAGAGAAGAGGTTTGGCTCAGCCTGGACCCTGGACAAGCTTCCCAGAGCTCTGTGGCAAGGCCTGGTGTGGCTGGTTTAAAACCAATGGCTTCAACACAACCCCCACTTTCTCAGCCCAAAAGATAAGGCGCTGGCAGCGATGCCTGGTGCCACACTGCTGGGCCCAGGGCATACCTGCCAAATCCCGTGTGTACTGCTCCCTCGAGCGATCCATCTGGCACTTGTGGCTGGCCAGGACCTTCTTGACCAGATCCAGCATCCCAAAGTTCTGGACTACGTTGTTGAGTAAAACAGCATCTTAAAAACAAGACACAGAATCTTTGAGGAAGCAAAATTCCCTGCGTAAACTATTTGTGGCTTGGCAAAAGCCACACAACAAACATGTCCAGCTGAGACAGCCAAAATCTGTGGGAGGTTAATGAAAAGGGCTGGGGGAGAGGAGAAGGCAGAAGCCATGAGAAAGGACAAGAGGTCACTGGTCGTGTAAACAGTCCTCTCCTGCCTAGCAGGGGTGATAAGGAATCTGCTGGCACAGTAGCTGCTTGCTGCGTCGTTATTCCAATTGCCTAAATTCCACCTCAATTCCCAAGCCAAGCATTTGTCCAGACCCAATGCCAGCAGAGAGGAAGCCCCAGGCATGGGGAATTAGAAAACTGAGGTCACCTAAATTATCCTCAAGCCCAACCTCACCAATCAGCCAGAAATTAGATTTTTTTATGATGAGCTATGTGTGCCATACAGATATCCCTAAGGATAAAAAAACCCACAAGCCCCTCTCCCAAGATAACTGACCACCCGTGTCCAGGTCCTTACCCCCAAGCTGCAGCGGGGGATCCTGTGCTCGCTGCTGCAATCCCTTCATAGTCTCCACCAGCTCCTGGTGGAACTCATGGATCACTTCTTCCAGGAGACCACTGTCCTTCAGACCTTGCCAAAAAGCAAAGGTGTCATCTGGAGAAAGAGGAAGCAAGGGAGAACTTCAAAATCCTCAGCAGGGTTTAATGGTAATCTGCTTATGGGTTCCCTGTGGATACCCCTGCAGGGGTGCAGTCCTGGTGGGCTGGGAGAGACCGCTGAGGTCACAGGGCTGGGACAAAGCCCACCCAGAGCATGGACACAAAGGAGGATACGCTCTCCCCACCCCTGTCCCACACCAACAGGACACTTTGCTACAGCCAGTATCACAGAATCACAGAATAATGAGGTTGGAAGAGACCTCTAAGATCATCAAGTCCAACCTATGCCCTAACACCTCAACTAGACTATAGCACCAAGTGTTAGTCCAGTCTTTTTTTGAACACATCCAGAGATGATGATTCTACCACCTCCCTGGGAAGACAATTCCAGTACTTTATTATTCTTTCGGTGAATAATTTTTTCCTAATATCCAACCTATACCTTCCCTGACATAGCTTGAGATTGTGTCCTCTTGCTACCCCAGTAGCACCAAGGAGAATAATTTAATGACCTCTCTGATATGATTTTTTTTCCCTGGAGCCACATTTGGCCTGGGCATTGATGTGTTGGTGCTTGGAAACAACTTCATCGCAGGGCTGCGCAGCCAGCCCACACACCAGTGGGATGTAACACAGTGCTATTCCATCAGCAGAGAAGGAATAATCCCAGTGGAGGCTCATGCAAGATTGCTCTGTTAAGAGGGTCCTTCCTGCTCCTTACCCTGCTGCTTCCCTCTCTCCCCACATCTCCTGCACACAGGAGCCCTGCAGGATCCCAAGCCATACCTCCAATGCTGGTGCTCCAATCGCTGGCATCCTCGCATGTTTCTATGGTTATTGTAGCCGGGGATCCGTTCACTGCAACCAATAGCAAAAAAGAAGAGAAAAAAATTCCCAGGTCCTCATTTTAACCTCTATTTTCACAGGCTGTTTCCAAAGGAAGCACTCTCTTGCTGCATTTCTGTGACTTCTCCTTTAAATTGCAGAGGATCACATCTGTTTGAATGCAGATATCAATGCTGAACAGAGACACCCAAGTGGCTGCTGTGCCAGCTGTACTTATTTTCCTACATTAAAGTGCAATCCCCAGGGATTGCTCCTGCAACCTTTGCAGCACAAGAACACATGCTTGAGAGCAGCATTTCCCTCCTGTTCCCCCCTGAAAACACACCAGCACTGCTCAGGGCAAAAGTCAAACAGATTGAGACTCTGATTGTTGTGGCAGCCCTTTTTACCCAGCTACCATTTGTCTGGAGGATTTCTAAAGCCTTCAAGGGAAGAGCAGCCCCCCACTGCACAGGAATGCAGGGGGGATCCCTCCTTCCCTCCAGCTCTGCCAAATCTCAGCAGTTTTGTTACCATAGAGCCGGGGAACAGGCGTCATTCACGCCGTGCGCAGGAGCGGGATGGATGGGAATCTGGCCAGAGCCCCACAGAGCTGTGCAGAGCCTTTGGAATGCTCAGTTGCAGCCATTAAACCCAGTCCCTCTGCTCCTTTACTCCACAGCTTTCAGGGCTCTGGTTATCTCAGCACAGCCCAGCAGCTGGCAAACATCTCCCATTGGTGAGCTCATGTTTAACACCGGTTCTTGGAGTGGGCTGGGCTGTGCATCAGCTTCCTCACCACTATACCAGGATGTGGTGGAAGGGTGCTCTGCAGAACCAGCCAAGGGGCTTATCCTGTCCCAGAGGCACCACCAGGAGCTTGGGGTGAGGGCCAGGGCTATTCTTAATGCTCAGAAGCAAAAGGAGTTAAATACAGAATTATTTGAAAATTAGAATGCTTTCCAATGAAACAGTTGCCTGCAATTATAGGTCAAATTCATAAAATCAGAGAATGGTTTGGGTTGGACAGGACCTCAAAGTTCATCTCATTCCAGCCCCCTGCCATGGGCAGGGACACCTTTCGCTAGACCAGACTGCTCCAAGTGCTGTCCAGCCTGGCCTTGGACACTTCCAGGGATGGGGCAGCCTCAGGGACCTTGGTTACATGGCATGGGTGAGCTTTGACGTGTCAAGGCCCTGCTGAGGGTCAGGAATGGCTGCACATACCATCGGCAGAGGCAGGAGTCAGAGGGATGTACTCTGTTGATGTCTGGCTGGTCAGGGACACCCTGGCTCCTGTCAGGTCAATTTTGGTGCTCCGGCAGGTGTTGGAACAGACCTTTGTGTGCTGATAAAAATCCAGCTCTCCTGAGTCCATAATCTTCCTGAAAGGCAGGGAGCAAGCACAAGGACAGGCACATCAGAAACAGCTAAGAGCTCTGAGATCGCTCCTGGCAGCCTTCACCCCAAACTTCTGAGTCCCAAAACACCAGGAGAGCAGGCAGATCCAACAGGAGCCCTTACTGGGACTGATTAACTCATTTCTTGAGGAAGGAAGGGGAAGAGAGAGCCCCTGTCTGGTGCCACCAGCACATCCCATCCAAAGCTGCAGCTTCCAAACAAAGGATCAGCAGGAGTCTCAGTTCAGGGTGAGACCATAGGGAGCTTCTTTCTTACCTTTTTAACTCTATAGCTCAAAAGGAGATAGGACATAACCCTATTTGTAAACTAAAATCAGGTTTCTCATCTCATTCAAAGGGAGTGGCAACACTGGAACATGGGATCTTCCAATCCAAGAACGTTATCTCCAAAACATTCCCAAGCCTTGCTGGCCAACAATCACCTAAGCTTCCTGAGATTTGCTCCCATGGGCTGCTGGGTTTGCCCTCAGACATTCCCCTGAAGCTTTTCCCCCCCTCTCAAAGCCCTGCCTTGACAAAGCCTAAACCTATTATGCAAAATTTATGTGGAGCAAAAGCTGCTTAAAAGGAATACAGGAGATGCCTGCATTGAAGCAGAATAATACAGGGAAAGGCAATGCCACACTGTGAAAAGAGCACAAAACCACTGACAATTTCTGGGGAAAGAGGTGATTCTTTTTTATCCTGCCCAAAGGCAGAGAAAGACTTTAATTAAATCACAGTCTCAGGCTGGTGTTCAGGACCATAGAGGAATTGAATTACTGTAGTTAATACTAGATGAGAAATGTTTGCAATAAAGAAGCTTTTTTTTTTTTCTTTTTTGCCAAGGACTTATTTAGAAGAGATGTCAAGCAGGAGTGCTGCAACCAGAGAATTGGTGATGACCAGACTGATTTCATTGGGTGAGTCATGCTGAGAATCCACAGACACCATGGCCCAACCACCAACAGCCATTAAAATTTCCAGTGTCCCTACACCAGCTGGAAACTCAGTGTGGTTCAAGCCATGAAAGGGCTAGAGAAGTATTTCTTGCCCCAAATTATTCCCTAGGCACAAGGACAGAACAAAACCATTGGACTGACCACATTTGGGACCCGGCTGTCATTCAGACAAACGTTTATAGTGGTTCATTTGCTCCCTCAGCAGCAAAACTTCCATTCCAAAGGTTCTGTTCCACCCCACAATCCCCCAGAAAGAAGTGTCCAGAGACACAAAGGAAGGCACTAACCGGAGCATGATCCCATTCATCCGGATCGCCCGCTTCCAATCTTTCAAGGTCGACTTGCCTGCCAGGTGGACAAACTCCTTGGGGCTGATTAGGTGATCATGAAACTGCAAAAGGCAGAGGTGCAACATCAGTGCCACGAGCCATAAACAAGTCAAGGGTACCCTGTGAGCAGGGTTCAGCTGTAGTCTGTGCCATTTCCCAGTGCCCAGCAGTGGCTGCAGCCCCCACGTGCCACTGAACACCCCCAAAACACAAGGCTGCCAGGCACTCCCCACCCCACAGAGCACTGCCCAAGTTAGAAAGATTAAAGCCAAACACTGCTGTCACCAATGGTTAGTTAACAGCTGCTCCAAGCCAAGGCTTCAGGGGTGTGTGAGTTTGCCCAGCTCAGGCAGGACAGCTGGGAAAACACCCATGGCTTGTGCAAAGTATCATTAACAGCAGGGAGCTGCTCACGCTCCCACTAACAACTGACTCAATGAAAGCTGGGCTGCACTGCTAACATTTGGGTCCAAGGGCATGTTATGCCCCATAGGGGAGAGAGAAAAAGCCCACTTGGTTTTTGACCTCCTGCTCCCAAGCCCAACCATTGGTATCAGGGAACCTCTGGCCTCTCTGGCTGTGCACACCCACTGCTACTGCAAACCAGCTTCAGGGAGCTGGCACACACCGTGCCAACTTTTCCCTTTCTTTTATTGCCCTACACACCCAGACATGCCTGAACCTAACAGCAACCTGAAGGATCATAGAATTATAGAATCACTAAGGGTGGATCTTGGAGAAATCCTCCAAGATCCTCTAGCCCAACCATGACCCAGGCAGTTCTCTTAAGAGCTGCATTACAGCCCATCTCAAAGGATTTCCCAAGTCCAGTCCTCCTCTTTTCCATGATTATGTTGACCAACTCACTGTTACTGCATGAGAAACTGCATCTCTGAACAAAGACAAGGGCTTCAGTGCAGAGAGGACAGATATTAAGAGGCAGCAGCATCTCTCCTCTGCCTCATGGATAGAGGAGACCACCTCTGATGGGAAGGGCAAGGACTATCCTTTGGGAGCCCAAGGAGACTCTCCCTCAGCAGAGTATTGTTTAGGCTGTGTACAAATGCAAGCAATGACTCACTCGTGGCATGTTCCTGAATTCATGTAAATTTTAACCATGAGTTACCCAGGACACAGCAGCAACTCTTCAGTAGGTCCTCAATCAATACATTCGTCAAATGATCAAGTTTCCAACTGAGCAAATGCTGCAAGTACCCAAACTGCTAAAATTTTCAATAACACATTAAATTAAGCACCATATCTCCAGCCAGAATGACACAATTTAGTCAGGACAAATATCAGGTACCCAGCACCAGGAAAATGTCATCCTTTCCTACCGTGACATGGTTCTGATGCAAAGCAGCTGATCAAAGCTTATCATAACCAGGCCAAGCCAGGTGACCTCACAACCTGGGCAAGGGGAAAGCACAAGCCCAGTGCTGGACTCTGTTCTCACCTGTACACACTTCACATTGATTCCAGGGCACACAAACTTCCTCCAGATGAGGTTGGCTTTGCTGTCCCCACAGGTGATGGGGTAGACAATCTCTGCCTCCAAACTGTCCTCATCTTCAGCCATCTTCACTTCTCACAGGGATCAGAGGAAGGGACAGATCAAAGAGAAACATGAGCCACAGCTTCTGATTCACATGCCTGAGGCACACATGCAATGATAGTTTTGAAACTCAGAAATATAAAAGAAGCAATGATGCATGGTGGGGTGTGCTGGGGTTTGTGGCCACCACTCACACTTTGCTATAAGAGTATCCAAACACCCGAATTTCTCAGGCAAAAGAGCCGAGGCAGATTTATGCCAATCCAGCTGCAGCTGAACACAGGGAATATGAGAAGTCATCCATTCTTGATAAAAGAGAATGATGTTATCTGGGTGGAGTCACCCTTGGTTTTAAAGTATAACTGGTTTTAAGTCAACACTAGCCCAGTCTTTGCTCCCTAAACTCACTTTCACTGGCAACCAAAGCCAGCAAGTTGCTGCAAGACTGACATCCCCGTGGCAAGCTGGAATGGCAGGAGCCAGGGGTGGCCAGACACAAGGACTCATCCCAGACCAGGAGAGGGCAGCAGCAGCCCAGCCAGCCACTGCCAGCTCCCTGCTGGTCACCGAGCCCCGCGGATGCTGGGGGAGCACCCCTGGTACCCTCGGGAGAGCATCCCTAAGGCCCACAAGAGAACACCCCGGAGCCCCAGCAGCTCTGCACAACAGTGCTTGGACTGTCCCATTTGACACCAGCACAGGGCTGTGGCACACTGGGGTGGCAGAAGGGGCTATGGAAAGAGCTGACCTACCTAGAACTGCTTCCTTCAGGTCTGTGGAGGCTGTGAAGGCAGCAGCAGCTGCAGCAGCTGCATTTTCAGTCTCCAGAGTGTCTTCGTTGATGTCACCACTGGGGAGAGAGGCAGAGGCATTCTTAAGCCATATGGCTGTGCCACCCCCACACCCGATGCCCTGTGGAGACTTTGCCTCAGAAGTCCCTCGGATCACATTTTCCCACAAGAGCTAAGAGTCAGTTCTGGGTTTGGGAGGCTCAGCTCCATTTTTTCATGTGGAGATGAAGAACTCCACAGCAGGCAAGCCCCTGTCAGCAGCTTGGACAGCTCTCTCTTGCCTCTCCTTTAATCCCAGCCCTGTGGATCTGCCTCCAGCTCAGCCCGTGCTGGAGAGCTGGCATGGAGAGATGCTGTCAGCACAGCCCCTTGCTCAGAAGTCACTGCCAGCCTTTGGAAGCTTTGCCTGAGATTTCCCCAGGAAAAACATGTGTGAAATATGCTGCTGCTGTCTGGGCAATGGACTGGCTGAATCCCCTGGATGCTCCAGGGAGCAGGACCTCAAGGAGCCACAGAGACACTAGAAAGGAATTGGACAAACCCCAAGAGCAGATCTGTGAGCAGAGATAACACAACATGAGTTACAGACACTTGCAATACAATCTGAGCTTCTTAAAACTTGATATATCCATGACATTCATTAATAGCTGGCTATCCAGCTGCTTCCATTGTCCCCACGCTGACATCTCCATCTTCTCTGGGTGCTTTGCCCATGGAGTCATACAGTGGGTCCTGCACAGCACCCACTCCCTCACTGCTCTTCCAGCTCTGCTACAGAAAGACAGAGCCCCAGGCCCCTCCAAGGAGCTTCCCACACTCAGAGAGAACAGGCACCTCTGGCTGGGATGGGACATGCTCCTCACCCCCTCGGCTTTGCAGGTGAGGTCCCAAAGGGAGGGAGCCCACATTGGTGCCCTTATGGATCCGCCTGTACATCACAGCCAGTGCCCAGCAGGAACCATTCCTAATGGGTTTTCATACAAACACAGAATGGTTTGGGCTGAAAGGGCTCTTTAAACTCATCTTGTTCCAACCCCATCCCACGGGCAGGGACACCTTCCAGTATCCCAGGTTGCTCCAAACCCTGTCCAACCTGGCCTTGAACAATTCCAGGGATGAGGCAGTCACAGCTTTTCTGGACAGCCTGTGCTAGGGCCTCACCAACCTCACAGGGAACAATTTCTTCTTATTACCTAATCTAAGTATACCCTCCTTTTAAGACGTATGTTTGGTAGTACTGAAGCCAACTAATTGCTGCAGAAAGCTTGACCCACAGGGGCAGGGGGAGACACAATTATCTTTTCACATACTTTGGCATATAAACTCCCTAGGAAGATTCCACAGAGAAAATAAACCTGAGAACTCCCTCAGTTTGGGACCATGGATGAATTAAAAGACAGTCCTAGTGACTCACTGGCAACCACATTTCTCACCACAGGGACAAGGAAATTCAAGAGCAACTGGTTTTTTCATTCTGGGCTCCTAACACAGCTCCAGGGTGGAACTGCAGCTTCAAAGCATCCCTCCCCTCAGCAGCTGCAGGGCAGGTACCCTGTGGGGAGCAGCACAGAGATCCGAATGTGGGTGGCAGCTCAGCCTCACCAGGTGAGTGGCTCACAGATGCTGCTCTAGAGAGGGGAGACAGCTCCTGCTGAGACCAAAGATGGACACAACTCTGCAGCTCACAGCAACCACCAGCCCAGAGCCCTGGCGGAGCATGGGGAGGGTAACATGAAAGGACTCAAAAAGGTAAACTCTGAGCTAAGGCATTTGCACACAGGTGATTATTACACGAGTGACAGTCTGACAGAAAAACAGAAGAATTCTAACCCGTGTTTTTTCATCAGTTTGCTGCTGGGTTCTTGCATTTCTCCAGGTGAAAGGCCAGCAGTGGCACTTCAGGGTGCCAGAGGAAGCACCCCCTTCTGGCATGCAGAGCCCAGACCCCACAGCCCTGACCTGCCTCCAGATCAAGACCCTCCACCCACTTACCCAGAAAAAACCCTCCAGCAGAAAAGTCAGCACCTTTCAGAGCTCTCTCCAGAACTCCACCACATTTACACCGCTCCGAAAAATGACGAAAAAGCACAAGTAGATGGGGAGGAATAACCCAGCCCACGCCTTTAACCTCCAGAGGAAAACAAACAAACCAACTCCCAGCTTGTATGAAAAATTCAGGCAACTGAAGTCTGCATCTGCCATGGACACGTGGAGGAGAGAAAACCACAAAAAAAGGCTAGTGTCTCCATGCTGTTTCTCCCATCCCAGGGAAACAGACCGAGGCAGATGCAAGGGAAAACACAAACACCTTTCAAGCCCCAGCAATGCAGCCCCCCAGCTGGCCCTGCCTTTGCCAGTTGCCATGACGAAGACAGGGGAGGATGGTTCTCATCTTCCTCCCCAGGAGGATCCATAAACCAGATGGGAGGAAGAGAAGAAAGCATGTGCAGATAACTCAGCGGGCTGGCGTCTCCTTTCTTTTCTGCCCCTGCCTTGCCTGGAAACTTGAGAGAGAAAAGACTCCCCCAGAATCCTGTGCTGATCAGAAATACAAGCACTTTATCAGAGCATCAAGCACAGATCCTCTCCTCTCACAGATCAAAGAGAAAAGCTTCTTGCTCATTATTTTTTCCCATTTCCCTCAGCCTTTTCCTTAAGAACACATGAACTAATTAAGCTCTTAACAATTGGTTGTACAGAGGGCTTTTTTAATAGCAAACCCATACCCAGATGAGCACTAGAAAAAGGCACCAACCCCCAAGCTGAGTTTGGTTTAAGTGTCACACCAGTCAAACAGAAAGCTCCCCATGTGAGTTGTGACCGAGCCAACAACAAGGGATCCCAGCCCGTGCCTGCAGCTGCTCTCCTGACACCAGCTGGGCCTGCAGAGGGAAGTCAGAGGGAAAGGGAGAAAGAGCTAGCACCACCGTGACACTGCCCCAGGAGGAGCAGAGCCTGGGGGGGCAACTGTCCAAGGCCACAGAGAGGCCATGGGTGGCTTGTGCTGCTACCCACCACCATCCCTCACTGCTCAGTGAGGGGAGTCAGGCAGGTTTTACTCCGTGACACCAAAATTCACATCCTTTCCATTAACCCACTAATATCCCCAAGAATGGGGGAGCAAAGAGCCTGTCCAGGAGCTCTTCTCCAGAGAGATGCATGGAAAACCCTCAGGGAATCTCTACATACAGGCCAAGACATCTCTGCTCACAGCTGTGACTAAATGAAAGCATTCCTCTCTGTGCTCTGTGGAGCTGTCCTGCTCCTGACCATCCAGGGGACACTGGGAGGGAGAGAAAAGGTTTCCAAAGAAAAACAGGAAAGGAACTTAGAGTGAAAGGAAACCAGCTGATTGAGCCAGCCTCTGGCATGATCCATTTTCCCAGACAACACCACAATGCTGCACATGGGTCTGTAGAGGCTTAGAGCCACATGACAAACAGGAACCATTCTGCATCCAAGAGCAGCCACATCCCAAGTGTCACATCCACTGAGGGAGACAAGGGAGTCTCCATGGGACAGAAAACAAGAGTAGAGACCTCCTTCCTTGCCATCACCGCTCTTCTGGGAATTGAAAAGGTTTTGGAAACACTCACAGACCCAGGGTGTGGAGGAAGAGCAGGGCAGATCCTGCCTATCTGAGCACCAACAGCCCTTGTCTCTGCCTGTCCCTGCCCATTCTTTACCAAAAATTCATCTATTAATGGGCTTTATCTCAGTTGAAGCAGCACAAGGAGAATGGCTCCCCCGGACTGAGCTGTCACCTTCTGCCCTGCCCAAAGCCCCCAGGCACTGACACAAAGGCACGTTTGAGAAACGAAGACAAACCCCCTGTGAAGAGCAATAAACAGCCATTCAGCACCCACTTATTTCAGACAAGCCTGCCCGGATGCAGCTCCAGGTGTGAACTTGGATTTTCTGTCCACTGAAAGAAAACACACAAACGGGCTCTGGGCTCTGCCCCACCCAAAAAAACACAGAGAAATAAAGCAGAGTCCATTGCTATGTGGGCCTTCAAGGTACCAGCCAGGCTCTTAGGCCATGGCCAACCTGCCACTGAACAGACCAGACCTAAACAAACAGCAGCCCTGAATATAAAATGCCAGTAAAAAAGGCAGAAATTGGGCAAAACAGCAGCACTTGAACAATCAGACCTTCACTCTGTGTTTTTTTTTAAGCAGTGTCTCTCCATTCAGGGCAACACCGTTTCAAGGACACCTCTCCCACTCCTGTTGCTGGCAGTGGAGGTTCCTGCAGAGCTCAGCCAAAAACCAGCCAACCCCAAACTTCCTCAATCTTCAGGGAAGGGGAGCTCAGCTGCACCACCGTCAACCTGGTGAGGACAAACTTGTCTCTTGGAGTTCAGAGCTCAGCACAGCCACCATGAAATAAATAGCAGGAAAACACTGATTTAGCTACTGGTGTCCTGTTCCAACTGGATTTGTGTCCACTCCAACATTCAAATCCACTCAGAAAAAGGAATTTGGGGTTGGTCTTCCCTCCACCCCACCCCCCAAAAGAGGGAACGAGTGGAGCCTGTTCTGCACAGAGCTGCAGAGCCCTGGTGTGGGAAGCCCTAGCAAGGAACTGGACACTCCATGGCCACTGCTGAGGTCCCCAGAGTGAGCAGGGATGCAGGAGGAAGCAGTGGGGGATAAATCCCAACCTACAACCACGCATGGGAGGGTTTCCAGCACATCCCCTCAGCACGCCCCAACCCCAGCTCTTACCCATGCTGGGACAGGTTGGTGGTGACCAGCACTGTCTTCACCTCCTCCATGCCACCGCCGTCCACAACGGCGCCGTCCGGCGTGGTCACCACCACCACCTCCTCCATGTGGACGCTGACGTCTGGTGTGGCCATCGTGGCCGGAGCGGGACAGCCACCAGCTCAGTCACCAGCTGCTCGTGGGGGAAAAGCCCAGAGTCAGGAGGTGAACTCGGTCATGGAAGGATCCTGGGTGTGGTGGGAGCAAGGAGAGAAGGGACTGCAGGGACCCCACGCTCCCCAAGTGCTCCATCCCAGGAGGAAGGATGAGGGGAGGCTCAACCCAACACATGCTCTGCAGGCTGGGTGAGAATGATGGGCCTGGGTGGGACTGGGATGAAGGAGGTAAAGGGCAGAGTGTGAAAGAGGTAAAAAAAAAAAATGTTCCTGGCATCCATCTATGAAGCTATTCAGTTTGAAGGTGCATTTCCAAATGTGTTTCAAACTATCTCACGATTTCACACTGTTGGAGGAGCTTGTCACTGTCTCCTCCACAGTAAAACAGGGATTCTTCCCGCCTCCAAAGTCACACACACAAAAAAAATCAAATTAAAAAAGCACATCAAGCCTGTAGAAACAGTGACATCTGGAAACTATTTCAAAGTGTGCATTTCAAATAAATCAGCAATAGATGTAAGACAGCACTCCCTTTCCAGCTCTCTTGGAGCCCCTTTAGGAACTGAAAGGGACTCTCAGTTCTCCTCAGAGTCTTCTTTTCTTCAGCTGTCTCAGCCTGTCTCTAGAGCAGAAGTGCTCTAGCCCTCAGAGCATCTCCATGACCTCCTCTGGAATCACTCCAGCAGCTCCACATCCCTCTGATGCTGGGAGCCCCAGAGCTGGATGCAGCACTGCAGGCAGGGGTCTCACCTGAGGAGAGTAGAGGGGGAGAATCCCCTCCCTTGCCCTGCTGCCCAGGTAAGGAGAAGCTGGTGCCTATTAAGCATCTCCTACAGCAATTTTGGTTGTCACTCTATCCTTCATTTTGGGGTAAAACCCCTCCCACTTAGTGATTAGCATCACTCACAACAGGCCTGAGCTGGGACTCAGTTTCAGGATGCCCCAGACATCCTGCCCAGCATCACAGGACTGAACTCCACGTGTGTTGGTCAGATGCCTCTGGGCAGGAACCAGCACTGACTGGAGAAAAAGTGGGCTGAAAACATAAGTAATCGAAAAAGTGGCTAAAAACACACCAGCAGTGGGGTTGTGGAGGGGGACGAGGGGCACCCCAGCTCTACCAGGACTCAGGGTGTTCATGCCTGTCCCTCCGGGTGCACCTTACAGGGTGCTGAGAGCGTGTCAAGGGTTCAGTGAGGGGAGTCAGGCAGGAAAGATTTGGGGTGAAGCGAGGGAAAAAAATATAAAAGGAAAAAAAGCATAGCACAGCTGGGAGAGCAGAGAGATTTTTGGGTGCAGCATCAAGAGGGCAGAGACCAGACTACACTGTGGGCAGCCAGCAAGGCTGAGCGCAGAGAGGGGGATGCAGGGTGGATGCAGAGAGGTACTGAGAGACAGGGGATGCATGGGGAGGTGGCTCCAGGGGGTTAAACAGAGGTGCACAGGGTGAGGGAGTCATGGGGTGCCAGAGGGTGCTCAGGGGTACATAGAGAGAAGATGGAGAGAGCGGCACAGACAGCACGGGTGGGGGCTGCAGCTGCACGGGGGTGGGGGGACACAAGCTGGGGGTGCCCGGAAGAGAGCGGCGGGGAAGCCGCAGGACGATGGACGGAGAGCGGGCTCAGGGAGGGGGAAAGAACCGGAGTGCGGCACGGGGGGACACAGAGAGGGGGTGCCGGGGGGGCTGCGGCTGCAGGGCCGGGGGCGGAGGGCGCTGCACGTGGAGGCGGCCCGGGGAGGCTCTCCCGGTGCCGCGGCGGGCAGGGGGTGCCCCGGGTGCCGTCGCGGTGTCCCCCCCACCCTCACAGCCCGGTCCCCGTTGCGGGGCGGCGCGCACGGGAGGGGGTGCGGGGAGGGGGAGAGGGGCGCGTGGGCGCGCTCCCGCCGGCAGGGAGGAGGAGGAGGAGGAGGAGGAAGAGGAGGAGGAGGAGGCGGGGGGGCCGCGGGGCGGGCGGGCGGCCGGGCGCTGCCGCCGCCGCCGCCGTAACGTCCTGACGCTCCGCAGGGACCCGGGCGGCGCGTGCGGCGAAGGCCCCGCGGCGGGCGAGGCCGCGCCCGGCGCTTACCTCGGGCCGGGGTGCCGCGGGCCCCGCTCGGGCTGCGGCGGCGGCGGCGCTGGGGGCCGGGCGGCGGTGGGCGCGGGCAGGGCGGCAGCGGGGCCGGGGGGAGCGGGGCTCCGCCGCGCGGCTCTGGGGCCCCGCGCAGGCGCACGGCCCGCACCGGCTACCGAGACTTATTTGGCGCGGGCGGCGCGGCCCGCGCTCCCCGTGAAATAGGGACCGGGCGGGCGCTCTGCGCCTGCGCCGCCGCCGGGCGGGGGTGGGAGGGGGCGCGGCGCGCGCCGCCGGGGGGTCCCCGCGCGCGGGGTCCTGAGGGGGAAGGGGGATCCCCCCCCTTGTGTCCCCAGCCCCCTGTGTCCCCCCCTTGTGTCCCCCCGTGTCCCCTTGTGTCCCCTGGTGTCCTCTGTGCCCCCCATGTCGCCCGTCTGTCCCCCCCCCGTCCCCTGTGTGTGTCCCCTGTGCCCCCCACACCCCCCATGTCTCCTGTCTGCCCTCATACCGTGGCCTTCTGCGTGTCCCCCGTGTCCCCTGTATGTCCCCCCTGTCCCATGCATGCCCCCCCCATGTCCCTTGCATGTCCTTTTTCCAGGTCTTGCATGACCCCCGGGTCATTTCCATGTGTCCCCTCTGCCCTGCATGTCCCCTTCTCAGTCCTCTGTGCCCCCCAATGCCCTCTGTGTATCATTTTCACAGGCTCTGCATCCCCCTCATGTTCCCTGCATGTTCTTCCTGGGCTCTGTGTGTCTCCTGTGTGTGTCCTCCAAGCCCTGTGTCCCTCTGTGGCTCTCCAGGGTTTTGTGAAGCCCTCAGCTGTTCATGGCTGAACACTAATAGTGATGGGGCAGCCACAGCTTCCCTGGGCACCCTGTGCCAGGGCCTCACCACCCTCACAGGAACAATTTCTTTCCAATACCCCATTTAACCCTGCCCTCAGTCAGTGTGAAGCCGTTCCCCCTCGCTCTGTCACTGCAGGCCCTTGTCCAAAGTCTCTCCATCTCCCTTGGAGCCCCTTTAGGCACTGGAAGGGGCTTTAAAGGTCTCCCCAGGGCCAGCATTAAGCAATTTCCAGCATTTTAAAAAGTGCCCTTGAGCAGTTTGATTCAGGGCCTGTTTTCCTCTTTGAGCCATCCCAAGGTGCTGCTGCTCCTCACCAGCACTAACTCTCGAGCTGTGACTCTGCTCTCCGTGTTTCCCCAGCCACCACAAGCTGTCACAAGTTTTGGTTAATTTCTGCCATTTCTGTGCCTGTGAGGCCCAGGGTTTAGGAGGCACTCAAGAATTTCTCAGGGAGGACTTTTAGCATGATTTTACCACGTTGCACTTCTTCTGTGAGTAGGTGGTTAACACGTTCTGGGAACGGATGAGCAAGGCCAGAGGCCCCAAAAGTCGTGAATCCCTTTTGGAAGCACTCCCTGTGTTTCCATTCTGTCAGCTTTTCACAGCTACTGGGTGGGTGGCTTTTCCTGACAGGTGTTCAGGTGGCATTTGGTCTGTTTAGTATTTTTTACACAAATTTCTAATGATCCTGCCTGATATATTTGTGGTGGTTTATTTAATGCTTTTTTTTTTTCCAAGGCTCTTCCTCTTTTTTTTTTTTTTTTTTTGTCCCCGTGCAAACCAACCCTGGCTGATAACAAGATGCCAGCTCTATTTCCTTCATGTTCCCCCTTACCAGTCTACCCACTTTAATATCATTAAAGTGCTGTTCCACAAGGAATTGTATTTTTTTTCCTCCCCCGAGATAAACAGTGGTAACCAGCAAGGTTAAATCACCCACTGGAAATGGTGACTCCCTTTTCCTTAGCAACATGTCTGTCTGTCTGCCAGCGCTACTGCTGCATCCTTGGGACCCCAGTGGGGTTGGACAGGACAGATAAAAGGTCCCTTTTTCCACTAAAACCATCTCCCTACAGTGCCCAAGAGCAGTGGCCTTATCAAGGTGGTAAGAAGGCAGCAAACCCCCGGTAATGCTGTCCTCCCTACTCCAGTTTTCCCAGCAGTCAGTGGCCTTTTGGAAAACAAAACCTGGCTTTTGCTGTCAGATCCCAGGACACAGGAAGGGGGTGATTTCACCTCCTGGCCCCTGATCTGCTCCCTGCTCTGCCCCTTTATCAGTGGGCAGACTCGCCCCAGCCATGGTGCCAGTGATGCTACCAAAACACGGTGAGCTGTTATGCTTCAAACCAAATCACTCTGCAAAATCTCGGGGTTTTGCCTGCCCAGGTGAGCCTTTGCATTCACCTTGGCAGAGTCTCTGATCCCTTCCCTTACTCAGGCACAGCTCAAGCACTTTGTAGGGATCCCTTAAGAGTTACGTAGCTAATTTTGCTTTCTTGACTTGGTTTTGATTTTTTCCTTAAGGAACTCTTGACATGGTGTAGAGTGAAAGAGGCACTGTCAGGGGGCAGGGTGAGATTGGATATTGGTAAGAAATTCTTCCCTGTGAGGTTGGGGAGGCCCTGGCACAGGGTGCCCAGAGAAGCTGTGGCTGCCCCATCCCTAGAGATGCTCAAGGCCAGCCTGGAGAGGGCTTGGAGCAGCCCTCCAAGGTGTCCCTGTTCATTGCAGGGGGTTGGAACCAAACCATTCCTTGATTCTGTGATTTTGTGGGTGCTAGAGTCTGGTTCAAGCCTTCAGTACTGTATCTTCAGCACTCAGCCCCACAGGCCTGCACGGTAGGTGGGGCTGGAAGGTGGTGGGAGTCTCTCCACAATTCCTTCCACTCCTCCTGCCCCATCCTGCCCCAGCAGATCCCATGCCTCTGTGGTTTTCTCCTTCAGATCACAAAAGGAGGTGTCTTGAATTAACTAAAACATGGATGTTTGCTACATCCATGTTTTAGAAGAGCCCGGGTCAGTGGACTGTATCAAATCTCAGAGGAAAAGGGAGCAATGCTGCATTTGCAGTCAGGTTGTTATCTCCGGAATCAGGAAGGTCAAGCTGCAAAAATAGCATTCCTGTTTGTGCGAGCAGCAGCATCCTGAGGACACGTGGGAAAAGCATCAAGCATGGGCTGCTTGCCACTGCCACCACCGTGATGGCCCCAGCACTGTCCTGGCACTGTCCTCCTGGCACTGCCCTGGGAATTAAAATTAAAATCCCCCCCGCCTTCCCCTCCGTTTGTCTCCTTGCATACTGAGCTGAGCTCTGTGGAAAGTCTCCCACACTGGTTATTTTGATGGATCACAAAATGTGGGACAGCCCAGAAGGATGCTGCCATTTCAATATCCCCTCAAGGACAGCGAGGACAGTGACCAGTACCACTGGGCACCACTTGTGGTGGCAAAAGCCCTCGCCACAAGACAAGTGGGGGAACCTTTCCCCAGCAGCGGGGAAAGCAGCCAGGCACCCTCCCACACATGTCCTTGTGGATTATGAGCTTCCCTATTTTCAGTTGCAGTTTTTGGACATTTTTGTGTACCTGGCTCCAGGGATGGGATTGGGAGCATTGGCCATGCAGGGGCTCGTGAGGTGGGGCCCATCTCCCTGAGGACTACAGCCCTGCTCCCTCCCACTCTGTCCAGCTCAGGCTGGATCCTTTCTCAGGAAAAGCTCATGAAGGAAGCATTGGATTTTTTAATAAAGAAGCTCATGTGATTTCCAGAACTGCACTTGTATTTGCAACTGCTCTGTATCTTTTTTGATCTTCCTGTGTAAAGACTTTGCACACCCTCACTCCCAGCCACAGGGGGTGGCAGAAGGATCCTCATTAAGGCATTTATTATGTTGTCCCTCTGAGAATGATGATAAACTGTCAATTTCTGCCTCTTTTATTCTGTGTGAAAAAGCAGTCACTGAGCATTCAGAGGATTAGGGTCTATTTTGTTAAATCTTTAGGTAAATTTCCTGTTTAATGCTGTTTATTGGTATTCTCACAATACAAAGAGAAGCCTTGCAACTAAAACAACCCGGAGAGAGACGGACATGTACGGTTTCATACCAACTTTATTTCTTTTTTTTTCCTTTATTTTTTTTTCATGATCACTTCTTTTGCACAACAACAACCTCAAGTTGATAATGAAATGCATGTGGCAGACCAAAGGGAACCGGACAAGGCTCTGTTAGGGATGGAAAGTCTTTCCATGACACTGCACCAGCTCCCCACCCAGCACAAGGGATGTGACCCTGGCTGTGGCAGGAGGAGCACATCCTGCCCGGAGGACAGCTGGGGTGCTGAGCCCGGGGGTGACAGCTCAGCCCTGTGCCCACACAGTCATCTTCCAACCCTCTCCTGCAGCCACGGGCCGGGGTGTTCCTCCCGGGGTGCACAGCTGCGTATCCCAACTCCATACTTTGGTACTTTCCATTTCAGAGCACTTCAGAGACGTGGAGGCATCGGCTCTCCCGTGGTCCCCGTGGGGAGGGAGCATCTATGTCCCCTTGTCAAAGGGTGTGGGAAACTGAGGCACGGGGGATGCCAGGGCAGGGATGCCCAGCTGTCCCCTGTGCCCCTGCACCCCGGGGACCACAGTGCACCCACACATAGGCATGGGCCAGTGCCCCTTTGCTGCTTTACTTAGACAACTGGCTACAAAGGTGGAGTTTATTGGTCTTACTATGTCATCTCATCCCTAGCATGGAGAGTAAGAAATCTCTAGCACCGTAAACAGCCATTCCCTGACTCATTTCAAGTGGTATCAGAGTGAATGTGCATATATTGTTTCCACAGATGCGTTTCTGTGCGTGTGTGCACAGCCGGGTGCACAGCCACCGCGAGGAGGACAGGAATGCCATGGGAGGGAAATAACAAACCCTGTGAGACAAGATTGCAGAGCCAGGGCCACAGTCACACTGGGCTAAGCTAAAGCAAGCAAGCTGAAGTTTACATTTGAAAGAGAGCAGCAATACTGACCTACCCCCGAGGTAGGATGCATGCAACTCCTCAACTCCCACTGGCCCTGGAAGGTCAACTCAAAGGGAACCCCACAACTGGGTTAGAGCAAGATTTTTTAATGACTCCAAAATAATAAGACAAGGAATAGGCTCAGTCCAGAAGTAGTTGAAGGAGCCAGCATCCTTGGAAGTGCCTGTTTACAGGCAGAGCTGAGCTCTGCTGTGTGGAATAACATGGGCACAGAGCTGTAGTTTGGACTACAGCTGGTTGTGCCTTTCCTACAGCTTCACCCATCACCCAGCTGTTGGTACCAGGTGGGAGCTCATTTAGCTTCAGCTCCTCATTCTTGTCTGAATCAAAGGCTCTTCTCCAGGAGGGCTCTTGGAAGGCCTATACATGCACATAATGATGTCACCCTCCTGACTTTCCTCCCTCACACTGCTGCCACACTTGAGGTCCAGGCAGGGATGCTGTGGGTGCCCTAAGGATGCTCCCCCTACAAGGCACATTCCCATGTCCTCATTGGAGACCTCAAACCCCACAATAAGGAAGGTGACCCCGAGAACTGGAGGGGTTGCATGCTGTGTCCACATCCACGGCACATGGGAATGCTCTAGGAATGACATAGGCTGGGGCAGTAAGGATGTTAATGAGGATACTTAATTAGTCTCATTTGAGTCATGAAGTATGCAGCTGCACATAGCCAATAGCATGAAGGGATATGGAAAGGCGTGGAATAACCGTGATCCTGGCCCCTGCCACGTGCTGCAGGTTGGGCACGGTGCTGCATGAGCTCCTGGCCACAATGGGTTTGGAGCAGCAGTGGACACTCCTCATCCAGCCAACAGCAGCCAAAGCAGTCACACATTTCCCTGATAGTGCCCAGTGACCCTGGACAAGCTCCTGAACATCCCTACTCCATCCATCTGCACCAGGCAAACACGGCTCCGGGACACGTAAAGCCTCTGGCCCCACAGGTGAGGCTGTTTCCTTGGCACGGCGTGTCTCAGCAGCAGCTCCCTGACATTACCCATGCACAGCTCTCCCTGCACATCCCTGCTCCTCTGGTGCAGGAGCTGCTCCTGCAGTAACACATTTTCCAGCCATCTCCACCATCCCTCACTGCACCAACCTGATGGAGGGGAGGAAAAATTAGTCTCCCAGTGCTCACACCTGCATGAGCACCATCTGCCAGGCCATTTCTGCACTTGCCATGGGAATTTCTGCCAGGAAAAGCTATTGCAAGAATAAGTCTCCACTTGAGACCCATCTGGGCTCTAGGGAGGGGGAAGAGAGGGACATGGGACAGCACAAGGGACGGAGAGGGAAAATCCAGGCAGGAATTGAGCCTGGAGACTCAGGAGCTGTTTGGGAGGACGGCTCTGACCAGCACAACCTGTTACAGCTCTCTTCCAGCACATGCTAAACCTGACAGATCCTCCAGCTTCCACCGGGTTGCAGGGAACCACCTGGAACCTCCACACAGAGAGGTTTAGATCAACACTAAATTAACACTAAATTAGATGTACTGGAATTGAAGCATCACCTCTATTCTTCCTCTCAGCCCTTCCTTCTCCTCCCAGCATGAGGAACAGCCGTCCCCGCTCTCACTGCCCTGCCTGCAGGACTCGGCTGCCTCCAGCTCCCAATTCCATCATTTTCCAGCTGCTCTTTGGTCCAGTATCCCACTGGCACCCTGTCTTCACCTAGCCCAGCCTCCGACTCCTTCTGAGCCCCCAGGAGAGAGTGAAAATGGCCATTTCTCTTGTTTTCAACTCTTGTTCATGAGTACAACATTTCTGATAATAATAATCATAATAATCATAGTACTAAAAACAGTATTTACAACAAGCTCCAGGTCAGAATTACACACCAAGCAAACACTCAGCACCACAGAGAGTAGGACAGGGTTAATATCCCGCAGATACCTTCTCAGATCCCACCAACGTGGGACACAGACATTTGACAGTTTCAACCATTTCTTACACACAAACATTTCATTTAAATTACTTTTTAATTTTTTTTAAACTTTTTAAAATTTCTCGTCACTATATGGATGAGGTGATGCTGGCGGCAATGCCGCGCTCTACACAAATGCTTATCTAAGACAGCTGCTACTATAAACTGATCATTAGCTACTGTTAAGAAATTCAACCCTCAGTTTCCTTCTTCACCCTAAATCTAATTTTCTTTTGTCACTGACAGCACAGGAGCTTTCTAACAGCCCTATTGTCCCCCCAGACCAGGAGGAGGGCTTTGGGAGTAAGGTAGCCCTTCCTTTTAGGAGCAGAGTCCCCTGACATCAAGCCATGGTCATGGAGGGATCCCTCCCACATCCAGCTGGGAATTCAGTGGAGATCAGAAGAGAGCACCAGGATTTGGTCTCCAGCAATCTTCCCTGTGATGCCCCAAAGAACCACATCCATCACTGGAAAGAGGGAAGGATTCTTCTGTTCACTAAAAGGCAATTTCACAACCATGCACCATCTCTGTTGGATTTGCTTTCCTAGCAGGGTGGAATCCTGTCTTGTGGGAGCACTGGGGAGCCCACAGAGGACTGAGGGTCTCTCCCAGGACTCCCACGGAGCTGGAAATGCAATCATCACCCACAGCTCTCCCAGGCAGAGCAGCCAAGACCTCTCAGTCCCTGCTCAGCTGGGAAGAGGATAGCTCAGTGGCCACCCAGGGCATCAGGCAGTGCCCACTGTGACAGGGACTTGCCGTGATGTGGCACCTGGCACCAAGCTTTGGGTGGAGCCCCTCTGCTGCTTCCGCGCAGGTTCTCAAAAATCACCCAAAGATGAGGACTGTGGTCACTGCCTACCTGGGCCGGCTCTGAAGGCAGCCAAAAGATGGGGGTTCTGCACACTGCAACCCCTGAGCCATCCATCCCTCTGCTTCCTCTCTCCTACCATGGGCAAACAGGGGACTGCTCCCTATTTTACTTCCCACACAGAAATTATCACTTATTCCCATTTTTCTGAAACTGATATTTGGCTCAGAGCAAACACCAAGAGGAGGAAAAGCCCTGGATAAGAAATCCGTATCTCTGTGACACTGGTGGTTGAATTTATTAATATCTTCGTTTGGTTTGTTGTGGTTTTTTTTTTTTTACATCAGTTTAAGAAATATTTTTTTTTAAAAAAAGGACAAAACCCTCCAAAGAAGCTGTTTGATTGACTGATCGACTGATTGATTCTCTATTTGATGTGAACTAGTTGCTATTCTGCTTAGAGGTCCCTATGATCTGTGAATCCCCACAAGCACTGACAATTAGGGATGCAGAGAGAAGCGTGTAGCTGTGGGACAAACACCGGGGAGGGGGGATGGAGAACCGAATGCTGCATCTAGACAAACAAAATAAAATGTGTTGGTTGGTCAACTGGTTGGTTTGTTAACAGGAATCAGGTGCTAGATGTGTAGAAAAGCCCTTTATCCAGAGATCTCCTCCCGCTGTTCCTTGTTCCTGCGGACTTCGGCTGCGTGCAGTTCCTGCAAAGACGGGAGAAATGACACCAGGCTAACACACCCTGCTCTTCTGATCAATATTTTCCTCCTGCACACATGATTTGAATCAGACATAAAAAAAGAGACCAGTTTCTCATCCAAAACATTCCAAGGGCAGGGGTTTACACTTGCAAGGAGTGAAGGATCATCTGTGGGAGCTTGGAGGTGATGGAACCTCCAGCGAACTGGCTCCTCTCTCCTGCAAAACCCTTCAGCCACACAGCCCATGGTGGGCCTAACGCTGTGTCTTTGGACTTGCACTTATCAGGATTACTCAGGCTATGTTCTCTACTCACCTTGAAGGACATAACCCCCTTCCTCACACTGCTCTGGAGCAGAGCTCCTCCTCAGCCACCACCACCAAGGGAACACCCTGTCCCTTGCACCCATCACACTGGGACCAGATCCCATTTTTCCATAAGGACCAGCACCCCCAGCCCTGTCCCGGGGGTCCCACTCGCCTTCTCGCGGAGCCGCTCCCTCAAGGCAGCGAGATGTGCCTCACGGATCTCCCTGCTCAGCTCCATCTTGTAGTTGAGCTTCTCCTCGGCCAGGCGGCTGAAGTTGTTGTTCTCCTCCAGCGCCTTGTGCAGCACCTCCCGCTCGTGTTCCCGCTTCTCCGCCAGCTGCTTCAGCACCTGCGCCTCCTGGGTCTGCGAGGGGTGGGGTGAGGCCACTGCACAGGCTCTTCCAGCCTTCATCGCCCCAGAGAGCCTTCCTGACTCCCTCCTCTGCTCAAACCACTCTGCCACTCCCCTCCACCCCATAACACAATCTTCTTGCTTGGAAGATACTTTTGGTGCCTTTTTGCTGCTGTCATAGAATTGTCTAGGTTGGAAAAACTCTCTGAGATCATTGAGTCCAACAGGTCCCCTAGCACTGGCCAGCCCACCACTAACCCATGTCCCCAAGTGCCTCAGTGATCACCTGATGATGATAATGGACTTGAATTCCCTGCTTCAATTACACTGCAGAATGTCACTCCATGATTCCTATGTCTCACCTGACAATTTACAGTGGAATAACAAGTGTCAGAACATTTCCCAGCTGTTTTAGATTATTCCCGCTGAGTTTTAGGGTTTGGTGCAATTAGCAGCAGAAAAGTCACTGTTTCTACAGGACACCTCCTTACCTTCCTCCTCTCTTCTGCAGCCTCCAGCCTCCTCTGCAGCTCCTCCAGGGACAGGTCCTTCTTCTTGGGAGGGGAGGAAAGGATTGGGCTCTCAGGAGATAAATCTGAAGGGGACTTCAGGATCACTTCGAAGCTCTGGCCTGATGCCCTCTTATCCAGCTGCTTCACCTCCATATCTTTGTGGGGGAAAAAAAACAGTGACTCTGTGAGCCTGTGCCATTCAGGAAAGTGACCTGAGGTCATCAAGCTCCTCACACAGGAATTAAGGTCTTCCCATGTCCTGATCTGAGTGATTTTGTTTTATCTCCAGAATTTCTTGATTAGTGATCACCTTCATCCCTTCCATGCAAATGCAATTAATTTAAAGTCATGGCATAATTACAGAAAGGTCACATTGCTGCTAATACCTTGTATGTCACTCTTGCATGAAGCAGAGAGATTCTGACTCTGGCAAGCTCCCACATTGCCCATGGGAGAACAATCCAAACACTGCTGGAGCTCCTCTGGGAGCAGGTTACCTACCTCCATACTGGTAGATGGTGTTGGGATGGGGTTGGGTGTGGAAACAGGAGCAGATGAGGGAGAGCAGAGACAGCTCCTTCATTTTCTCCTTGTAGGCTGAAAAATATGAAATAGCAATGAGAGAGATTCTAATGGCAACAGCATCTCTTTTTCATGGAGAAATTAAGCAAGCATCCCATCTGCAGTTATCAGACTCTATGGAGGCTTTTCCATGCTCCCAGAAATCCCACTTGCAGCTACCAGACTCTGTGGAGACGTTTCCATGTTGCCATAGCTTGCCAAAAGGTCCCCAAGGAGTGTCTGATCTAGAGCAGCCTAAATTAGCTGCCAGTGTGGCAAATGTTATGGGAACACACACAGCAGGGATTTAACACATCCAGGGTTATAAGTTTCTGTGCAGAGTTTTCCCTCCAAAGGAGCTGGGATGCTGCAGCCTGTTTAGTTAAACAACGTGGGACAGTTGCCCCACCCTTTCTCTAGAAGTGGAATTTCCAGTCTCTGAGATAAATGATGCCCACTGACACCTGGAAAAATTGCTCAATCCCTGGCAAGTTGGGAATATTTCACAATTCAGCATTTCTGAGGTGAGGGTGAAGAGGCAAGAGGAGATCAAAGGGGCATTTGAGTGATGAAACTGTTCAGGAGCTCTGCTACCAGGGGAAGAGCTGGACCCCAACTTCACAAGGAACCTCCTGCCCTGCAGCAGCAGATCAGGGAGGATGTGAGTGGATTCTGCCACCACCTCAGCCCACACAGGCAGAGGCTGGCACAGCCTGTGACCACAATAACCATCCTTCTCTAAAGGACAGGAAACACTCAATCCTTTGCAGCTCTCTGCTGTGAGCCCTCCAGTTTGCTCATCACTCCTGTGACTGGAGGATGCACCACAGCATCCTCGGTGATCACAAGTGCTGCCCCAACACTGATTGCCCCAGAAGCAGATTGCTGCAATCTTCACCTGTATTTTTGGAGTTCAGCACAGTTAAGACAGTGAACTGCTTGCACACTGCTGACAAAGAACCTCAGAATAGGAGTTGAAGCTGGTGAGGTGCTCTGTCAGGCTGTCATGTTCTTTAGCACATCAGTGAAACCCTCACAGCATCACTCCTATGTGGCAGGTCTGCAGCTGGAGCTCAGCTGTGAGTGCTGCTGCTGCCTCATGAGTCCTCTGTCCTGGGCTGACTCCCTGGGTGACACCCAGGCTCCTGTGGGGACAGTGTCTTCATGGCTGCATGTCCTGACAAACCTGCCTCTCCTCCTGCCCCTGCCACAGGCATTCTGCTGTCCTGCCTTGCTCTGCCTCTGGATTTCCCACATATCTTGGTGCTTTTGCCATTGGTTTGTCCCCTCTGTTCTGAGCTCAATTCATGCTCCAGCCAGAGGTGACTCTGCAGTTCAGCTTCCAATGCCACCTTCAGGACAAGACCCTCCCCTGGGCCAGGACAGGGAAATCCCCAGAACATTGTGATCTGAAGAGGCATTAGACACAGAACAATTCTGAAAAAAGGAACATTGTGTGTATCACGTGCCCTTAGGAACATCCTTCAGGTATTCTCCACTGCCTTCCCACAGCTGAGTGGGAAAACCTATGCCAGTTTCATGCTTTCTCTGATTTTTCCTCCTAGGTACAGAACTTCACCATAATTAGCACTGTTCTTTTGCTAAAGCACCATCCCTGAAGCTCAGATCTTGACTGAACACTTTTTAAACTTGCTCCCCATTCTGATTTAAACCTCCTGCCCAGTTCTGCAGTTAAATGCAAACGAAATAGGAATAGTTTACACCAGCAGTGGCAGCCAGACATCTTTGATTTTGTTCTTAATGAAAAAAAACCCCTCTGGAGAGCCTCTGAGAGGCCCAAAGTCATGGCATGGAGCAGGCAGCTAATGCATCTCCTAATGTGCTGCCAAGAGCCCTGAGGAGGATCCCTGGGAATAGATGAGAGACATTATCATTTGTTATCATTTAGACATTCTCATTTAATACAAACAAACCAGTCAACCAGGTCGTTGCTCCACCATTATGTCTGGTCCTGGGTGAAACCAAGGCATGAAGCAGATGTGCCACACCCCCGACCCCCTCATTTAATCCAATTTAATTGTCTGACAGCACTTGTTACAGAGCTTGGTGCTTTGTATTCCATGACTCGGGCTTCAGCACTGGCACTGTGTGCTGCATTCCCTGCCTTTCAGGAGGTTTGCCGTGGTGATTTCACAGCTGCCTCCATTCCACCTGGATCTCCCGTCCTGCTTTCCCTTCCGCAGAGCAAACTGACCGTCTCTCTCTGTCCATTAAAGTGAGGAGGAGCAGGAGGACAGCAGCCCCCGGGCTGCGGCAGGGCTGTGCTGAGCTGGAAGCGCTCTGTGTCCTTCCCCCGCCCCGGCGCCAGCCGCCAGCTGGAATTACCGGGACACGGGGCCGGCAGCGGGGCTGGAGCTGCCGCGGCCCCGGGGACCGCCGGGGGATGGTCCCGAGCAGCGGGAGGGGAGCGGGAAGGACCGAGCCCCCCGGGAGCTGCCGGGGGATGGTCCCGAGCAGCGGGAAGGGGCAGAGGGAAGGACCAAGCCCCCCGGGAGCTGCCGGGGGATGGTCCCGAGCAGCGGGAAGGGGCAGAGGGAAGGACCGAGCCCCCCGGAGCCGCCGGCGCTGCGCTCCCGGCCGGAGCTGTCCCTTCAGCACCGCCACCGCCGGACCCGGCCGGAGCTGTCCCTTCAGCACCTCCGCGGGGGCATGGAGGGGAGAAGGACTGACTCCTGAAGAAATTATAGAATCATAGGAGCACAGCATCGCCACAGGTTTGTTGGGATTGGAAAAGATCTCCAAGATCACCAGGTCCAAGTGTCCCCCCAGAACAGTCGAGCCCACCACGAAACCATGTCCCCAGGTGCCCATCTACATGGCTTTTAAATCTATCCAGGGATGGTGACTCCACCTGGTCCCTGGGCAGCCTGTGCCAGGGCTTGACAGCCGTTTCGGTGAAAACATTTTCCTGATGTCCAGTCTAAACCTCTCCTGGCTCAACTTGAGCCATGTCCTCTTGTCCTGTCACTTGTTAACTGGGACAAGAGACTGAGCCCCAGCTGGCTGTGCCCTCCTGTCAGGGGGTTGTGAGGGTGAGAAGGTTCCCCCTGAGCCTCCTTTTCTCCAGGCTGAGCCCCCCCAGCTCCCTCAGATACCCCTGGTGCTCCAGACCCTTCCCCAGCTCTGTTCCTATCTCCGAACACAGTCCAACCCCTCAATGTCATTAGTGTCCTGAGGAGCCCCTGATCCATGCCCTGAGAACAACATGGATCCCTGAAAGCCCCACACGTGTGCTCCAGAGCCAGCAGTTACACCCGTGGGACACAGGAGCATCGCAGTGATGGCCTTGCACTCATGACATGTTCTGTGACAAAGAATTGTTTTATCAGGTTAAGACAAAAAAAGACATCCTGTGAGAGGTACATCCTCATATTCAGTAACTAAAATAAAGATCCCTAACCTCTGGGATGCTATTTAGGAACCTGCGAAGATCAAACCTGAGATTTCCTGAAGCAAGACTTGGGCTCAATCACAGCTGCTTAAAACCCAGGGGTAAAAGATTGCCAATCTCAGCACTAGAATTTGCTTCAGAAGTATCTGCACTCCCATTTGCAATAGATTTAAGGTTTTGAGGACATGTTTATGCCAGTGGACAAAACCCTTGAACCAGGAAAAGACATGTGGCTGGCCAGAATATGACATGGCCAAGGCAATCCTGCCCAGAAAGGATGGGTCTAGTGCACAAATGAATATATTTTAAGAACAATTAGACAGGGAATGCTAAACTTTTTACTTGAGCATCTATTAGCATTTTTACTTCTATTAACATAGAAAAAAATAATTTCAGCCTGCACTGTGCAAATATTTCATTTCTGTATAAATTCATCTGACTCAGGTCCTCAGGGACTTGATACCAAAGAATTGCTTCAGTCTCAGAGGTGCAGCAAGAACTCTGCCTCGCTGGTGGGCAGAGGATTAGGACAGGCTGCTCACTCAGGTGTGGCTTACTGACATTTTAGTTCTCTTTTAAGGCAAACACTGCAATGGAAGGATCAGCAGAAAAATTCCTTCCCATTTTTTTGTCTCAGCAGCAAATTCATTCACTCTGGTATGGCCTTCCTCCCTGTGTCATGACATTTCACTGCTGTCATATCAGAATTGGGGTGAAACATTGCAAATAAATGAGTGGTGTAAACCAAGAAGTGAATAAACTGTAGAAGTTAGAGAAAATGTATCAGTGTCTCATCCTCTAAAGTGGAGTGTGCTTATATTTTGTTGGCTTTAGAGGAATTTGAGCAGTGATTAAGCTACAATCCATAAAGGTGCAGTCAGTTCCTCAACCCTTCTGAACATTTCTGCCCTGCAATCAGCACAGGCTGATTCTGGTTTGGTTGTGTTCCACCCCACACCCCATAAGCCAATCAATCTTTATTAAATTTTTTCATCAGGAGCTGACCTGAGCCTTCACCAAGGCACCAGGAGGCTCAAGGTGCTCCCAGCTCTCTCTGGTGACTCCTTTTCTGTGCTCCCTCCAGTGCTGCAGGGAACATCCTGCATTTCCATACCCCCACTGCTGCGCACACCATCGATCCATGTAAAGTGTTTATCTCCAAGTCAACCCCCGGAGACATTATCCAGCTGCTCCCCAAGTGCTGGTGGTGCCGGAGATGGAGGAACAGCTGGGAATGGTGTGGTGCAGGAGCAATGGGATTCATTTTCCTGCTCGTGATGTGCCTGGATGGTGAGGCTGGAAACCCATTATTCATTCAAAAGTTTTGTTCTCTGTTTCCTAAATACATAAAGCTAAACTGCTGCCAGGTTTTGGGGTGGTGTTTAATGGCATCCACCAAAACAGAGCGAGGCCATCTCGGCACAACACTGACATGGCATCAGTAACAGTGAACTAGAGGCAGAGCAAGGTTAATTTATGGGAAATTTAAATGGATGAGACTGGATGTGCTCTGTCTGATAGCAGGGTCAGAGGAAGGTTATTACAAGGAAATAATTTGGTTTGTGAAGATAACTTTGGAGAAGTAAGAATTGCTTCCACAATGAATATTATCTCATGCAAAAATAAGAACAGGCCAATTATAAATGCAATCAAAGCTTAAACAGAAGGCACAGAAGACAGAGAGACAGGGAACTGAGACCTCCAGCACAGACTGCAATGCCACACAAACAACAAAAGCAACCAGAGTCCTCAACAAGCCTTGAGAGTACAGCAGGCTTCAGATATTCTCCCCTGCCATGAATCCTATAATAAAAAGATTGGCCCTTCAGTCTAATGCACTTCCACCTTCTTGCTCCCCAGCTTCCACAAACAAGTCAGCAGCAGATCTTACAGAACCAGAAAACACCAGTGGGTTTTTTGTTTGTGTTTTTTGAGGGGTTTGGAGGTTTTTTTGCCAGCTCGGTAGCTGTAGCTCACACTGATGATATAGGGACACCACAAGATCTAGGCCCAGAAATTACCATGGGCTCATCATGATGTGGAATCATCCATGAGAACAGGCAGATGTGAGGTTTGCTCTGCCTTCTGTCAGACATCTGCTAAACTATTGCCCAGGAATGGTTTCCAATCACCCACCTCCTTCCCCCCAGGTTTTATTGGCAGCTCATGAATGTCACAACAACCCGGGCTGTGCATCAGCAAATCACTCGAGCTGTAGCACTGGAACATGTGGGCTGCTCCCAGGAAAATAACCAGGGAAATCTCCTCTTGTATGGACTCAGCAACAGAGAAGTGCCCAAGCTGTGGAGCAGAGCCCTGGCTGGGGGGTTACTGTTGGAAGGAGAGAAGCACGGCCTGGGTTGCTTTATGAAGCAGAGGAAGGAACAAAATGGAAGCAGCTAACCCAGAGTGTTTGAGGATTTGAGGCAAACATGGGTTTGGATGGTCAGGTTTGGATGAGACAAAGAGCTGTGAAAGAGCTGGGGAGCTGATGAGGCAGCAGTTCATGAGACAGTCAAAGACAGAGCCCAGTGCCTGATGTGTCAGGGACAGATGTGCTCTGTGACCACAGACAGTCATTTGGTCTCTTTGGATCTTGGTTTCCTTCCCATTAACTGAGGATTACTGTATTTCCCCATTATATAGTGGTACTATTTACTATTTGCATAAACAAATTCAGAGGGGATAAGATTCTCTAGTAGAGCAATAATCATGTAAAGGTACCTTGAAAGAATAAAAGGATTATTTGTAATATGCTGAGCGGCTCTTTACCATTTGGGAGATGCTAAAGTACCACAGCACATGCACATGGTCTTTGGTTGCTCTCTGGCTCTTTTGTATTTTCTAAATCACACTCCATTGGTTTAACTCCCCTCTGGAGGGGAGACTTTAATTTCTAAAACATAACTCACATCTGGAGGAGTAAAACCCATGTCAGTAGGACAGCTGGTAGGGATTAGCCAGGCATGTTTTTCCAGTTAATTTAGGGGTATAGAAGTTTGAGTGAGTTTCAGGTCCCTCCAAGGATTGTCGTGAAAAATCATTGGCCCTGTTCACCCTCTGCTGCCCACACAGCTGTCACAATGGGCTTATCTGCAGCCTTCTAGTTGCCACATCAGACCACTAAATATCAGCTTTTACTCAAAAGAAGGAAAATGTGTTCATCTGATAAAACAGTGCCTTCACCAGATCTGAACCAACAATGACAGATTCCAAGAAAGGGCTCCTTTGAGATATTGGAAGCACCTTTCCAGAGTCTACATGGAACGAGATATTATTTATACTTTTTAAAATATATTATTTATATTTTAGAAAGAACAAGCATTTGCTAATTATTTAGATCCCTTGTTTGGATGCACTGGTGGGAAAAAAAAAACAAACCTACAATTATAGGCTCTTTTGGCATGTAAAACTGAATTCCCAATAGAAGAACCATAATCTTTTAAGGCTACTTCAACAGCCAAAGCAAAAGACAATAGTTATCTCTTGAGAGCACAGAGAGATGGAGAGCTTGATAGAAAGGATAGAAAGGACTCTGACTCTCCAGCGTGGGCAGCAGAAATGTCAGGACAGGGCAACACCACATGGTGTCCTTCAACGCCACCCAGAAAAGGGATCAGGAGCTAACCCAGAGCTCCATGAAGTCCCTCAGCTCTCACATTTCAGTGCAGGACGGGAAAACCTTGGCATCTGCCAAGGCGCATTTACCATGCCCAGTCATGAGGCCAGGAATGACAACCTGGTGTTTCCTCTTGGCTCCACCCTCCAGACGCGCCGAAGCCGGAGAAAGCCGGCGGGGATGTCACCTTCTGCATCATTTCCCAGCCTCGCGTCTCTTTATCCAGCCCAGCCGTGCGGGGAGCTCCGCGGAAGGCACAAAGGCACAAAAGCACAAAGGCACAGAGGCACAGAGGCACAGAGGCACAGAGGCACAGAGGCACAGAGGCACAGAGGCACAGAGGCACAGAGGCACAGAGCCCTGCGGGATGCTGCGGGAGCGGTCGGGGGCTCTGCCCTGGGGCCGGCTCCGCACTCAGCCGGCACTGAGCATGTGCCGCCATCCCGCGGCTCCAGCGCCCAAAACAGCCCCCGGGGCCGCCAGAAAACGCCTGAGGGGACAGGGAGACAAGAGAGAGGGCAGCCAGGCTCGGGGGAGCGAGCCCTGTGTCTTTTCATCCCGAGGATTTGGTTGTTTGTTTAAACAAACCAAGAGAATCTTCCCGAGGGGGATAAAGCCCCCGGGCACCAGCCGCAGACTGCAGCTGCCCTTCCCTCGGCACGGATCGGCTTTTGCTGAGAATAAAGAAGGAAATAATGAAGAAAGCAAACAAGGCTCATTCCTTAATTGAGGATTCATAATTATTTTTCCTCTGTCTTTCCAGCTACTCTCCACTGCTGCTGTAGGAGCTGTAGGAGATGGGGAGCTGCTCCTGCAAAGGCAGCTGGGCGAGGCTCAGCCCCGACCCTCCCTTGGCACACAGCGCCCTATTCTCTTCCCTCCTGCCACAGCACTGCTTTCCTTGACTTTCCTTGACTTCTTACTTCTTGAAATTGCTTCTCTACTCGATCTGAGTCACAAGGAAGCCCCATTTGACGCTTCTTCATGATCTTAAGTCTCCTTGACAGTAAAACTGCATCTCTGGGAGAACGAGTTGTGCTGTGGGCACGCAGTGGGTTGGGAGGGTGAGAATGCACCAACTGGAAATCGCATGTTCTGCCTACGTGTGTTTCATCCACCACCTCGTCCATCTCAAGTTCGATGCAACCTTGGTTTAGAGGGCTGGTAAGTCTGAGCCTTCCCTCCCACCCCCACTGTGCAAACAAGGTCCAATCCTGCTCGGTAGGGAAGGCAGGAGATGGGTGGCACCTCCCAAGGGTGCACTGCTGCAGATGTTCATCGAAAAAGGGATACTCGCAGAAATATATGCAATATTTGGAGGTTTTCTATCATAAACACATTTTTACAATGCTGTTTTATATCTTTAACTGCGTGCAAAGCCCACTCAGAATCAGCTGTGCCCTTATACTCCCTCCACATACACACCCCTCCATCTCTCCGTGCTTCTTCCCCCTGCATCTACTGGTCTTTTAAAAGGAGTAAGGAATAGAAAATGCATGGCAGAAAACCTCGGCAAAGGGCAGTGAAAGAAGCAAGAAGTGTTGCCTGGTCTGTGGGCTGGTTCCCTGCCTGGGGGCCACAAAGCACTGCCTGCTCTTCCTTTTTGTCTGTCGCTCCTACTCAGCCCTCCAGGATCTCACTTCCCCCTCCCAAGCCCCTCTTTGTAGGGTGCAGAATTCAGAGTCATTCCAAGAAAGAAAATCGGTTTTCTGAAAGAAAAAGACCCTCTAAACCCACCCACTGTTCATTGTACCATTTCAAGCTTCTCCTTCACCCACACTCCCGGTTTCAGCCACTTGAATCCCTCTTTCCCAGTCAAAGGGGGCAAGACGGGTCTTTGGGAAGCTGGACCGAAGCATCCTGGGCTGCCATCCTGCAGGCAGACCCGAGCAGCTCCCGGGCAGCCGCGCTGTGATTCCCGGCACTGCTGCAGGAGGGAGGAAGGGCTTCCCTTGCAGCATCTCGTTTCACCCAACGCCATCAGAGGACCGCTCCCCTGTAGCACCTTCGAACCAAGAAATGTGAGCTGTGCAAGAAATCTGGGGCTGGGAAGCCCAAAGAATACATAAAAACCCACCCAGATTCTTCTAGTTGGCTTTGGGGGATATTTTTAGGACATTTCTGACTCTTCCCCGTGTCTTCCTCTCTCTTACCCATTCAGGCAACACATGATCTTCACAAAACAAAATGTAATTTCTGATTTCCTTGCATCCAGCTGCACTGTATGCATTTTTTTCTTGGAAAAAAAAAAAAAGCTCTACGATGTTACAAAAATAATATTTAATTGGCACGTAGCAGCATCTTCTAATAGCACAATGAAATGTCAGCAATACTTTAAATTGGCAAGTTTATTACACGTGTATTCATATTAAAATAAAAAGCCCACCTGCTATCTTGCATCAGAGGGGTGTGTGTATGGGGGTGGAAGGGGAACAATGCTGCCATACCAGCTGCCTCCTCAGCACAGAACTCCCCCGAAACCCACGGGGGGAAAAAAAAAATCAAAAACCAATCCAAACCTTCAGAATAATGATAAAAAAATATAATAAAATTTGATGATTTTAGAAATGCATTGATGTCAAGCCCCCGAGAAGCCGCCTGTCCTACCTGAGACGGTGCTGGCCATGCTGCGGCGGGAGCGGAGCGGTGCTGCAGGAGCGGGAGGGAGCGCAGGAGCTGCGGAGGTGCTGCAATGCTGCGGGGAGGCAGGACTGACTCAGCTGGAGGGGGCTGCAGCCATCCGCGGCGGGGAGAGGCTGGAGCGCCCAGAGAAAGGCGAGGGCTGGAAAGAAAAAGAAGGGTCACTAGTTCAGAATATTAATGAGCGTATCAGGCCTCCTTTCCTGGGAGGCTTTGACGGCAGATCCCTCCCAGGCAAGCCTGCCTGCCAGAACACAGCCCCACGGCGGGGGGGGGGGAGACACACCCAGCCAGGCGCGGGCAAAAGAGGATTTTTTCCTCCTCTTCCTCCCTTTCTTGTCTGCTCGAGATGGGCTAAATTGCTTTTTACCTTGCTGAAAGCAGAATTAAGATTTTTTTTTTATTTTTTTAAACCCTCCATTCCAAGGCAGCCTTACCTGCAGGGCCAGGTCGGGGGTCTGGCTTGGCTGGGCTGAGGTGTGAAGCCCAAACCCCAAACCTTGCAGCAGCTTTAGGCAAACAGCAAAGGGAGGAGGGATCCCAGCAGGTTTTTTTTTGGGGTTTTTTGTTTGTTTTTTTTTTTTTTTTGTTTTGTTTTTGTTTTTTTTGCACCAGCACTGAGGCACTAAAGGAGCTGCAGTTTGGGGAGGAAACTGCTGTAAAAGTAAAGGAGAAACAGCAGAATGGAGCCTTTCGATTTTAGTGAGAATTCTCTGGGTTTCTTCTCCACTCTAAGCATCAGGACCTCTTTTCTTATAATTTTCTGTCTGTTCTCTATAATTTCTATCATTCCCATTTGTGGCTATTGCTAGGGGCCAATGCTTCTGTGCTTTTAGAGCAACACACACACACTTGGGAGCAAGGAATCCTCCCAAACCCACACATCTCCTGGCACGCTGCAATGCAGACACTCCCAAACAATTCCAGCTGCTGCAGAGAACCACAGGTTGTTGGAATACCTGCCAGGGCTCTGGCTTGCTCAGGGGCAGAAGCCATAGAAACTGCCTACTAAATTCAGTTAGAAAGATTAGAGATTTTTCTATTTTCCTATTTTTTCCCCAATCAGTGTCCTAACACTCTAATGGAAAAAAAAAATAGAGAAAATGTCTAACTCATAATAAAATTAACACTATCCACACATTTTCCATATGTGTTTGCAACGGGACTTTTTAAAATGACCTTTAACTACTCCCTGTTTTGTCCAAGCCTTGTTTTGTGGTTCCAGCTCTCTCTATTTTCTCCTTGGATTGAATCTCCAGAACTTGACAGGTTGTCTTGTGTGTGTTTCAAAAACACCTTTGCCAAGATCAGAGGAAGGCAGCCATCCCAGGCACCTGACTGGTGGAGTGACTTCCCCCTTCTGCTCAGGATGAACTCTGGCTTTGATATTCCCAGCAGTCCCAAGAGGGTCTGACTACCTCTTGCAACATTCTGGATCTTTTGGCATCAATCCAGCACACATTTTATGCATTTTATCGAGGAAAGGGTGTGGAACGATTTAAAGGTGCCATGGCCATGTGTCCCACTGGAATAGACTGTGAGAGAAATGGGGAGCAAATGATTTGGAGGGTCAAGGTGGAAAGCTGTGTTGTTATTTGCCAACAGTAAATGGACTGAAAGGCTCTGGACTATCAGGATTAAAAGAAATCAGATAATTTGAGGGGCAAACAAAAACTCAGAAAGACAACAATTGGCAAGTCAATCCTCCTCTATCTGAAAAGAGGTAAATAACCTTCATGCCAACCACAGGAGTTTCACAGATGGCCCTCGTTGCTCTTTTATCCCATTTTTGAAGATTCCTGCTCCTCTGGCAGCATCTGGATCTCATCTGGAAAGAGATCCTGCCTGGGCAGCCTCTGAACAAACACGGCCATTATTCACTTTGCACTTCTGCACATGATCAATGTTCCCCTTGCTGGAGTCTCTGGTGTGGTTCAGCCCCTCCCCACAGAGGTAAAGAACCATCTTTCACAAGGTTTTTAGTTTGCACATTGGTTTCTTTTTCTTGAAAATGAAAAATAGTGTATCCAAGACCTTAAAACCCAGGAATGAGTGAGAAGTGGAGATGGGCTGGTTCCTCCTGGCTGGGCTGGCAGGGACAGGCTGGGCTGGCACACAACTCTGTGCTGCTCAGACAGACTTTAGAAATCTCTCCTCCCTCTCCAAAACTCTGCTTTGTAAGAACTCAGGGTCTGTCCTAGGCAGACAAACACCAAGATGGCAATCCAGTGTGAGACCAACACCTTTATTTGTCATGTCTTTATCCCAAAAGATGCTGCAGCTTCACTAAACCTCCACAACAAAGAATACATTTTTCTCTGTAAGCTTACAAGCATTTCCTGTGTTCTGTTTTCAGAAGGCCAGCAGTGCCAGAGGCAGCCTGCAGCCCTGGTCAGGTGAGGTCACTGGTGCAGAGGAGCAGCCTCCAGCAGCTGCTGACTCATGTTTGCTGCTGGACACGGGCACCTCCTGCCTCGGGCTGCTCACCTCCAGCTCCCCTCTCTCAGCAGGTGACACTGCTTCTACCAGCAGCACTGAAACAAGGCAAAATATTCTCCTTTGATACACTTCTGATATTGTTCTTCCACGTGGGAAAGATGTATTTACAGGAAATAATGATAACAGAGTATGCCATGTATTTATGAGGAGTTTTAAATATTTTTTTTCTCCCCTAAGGTTATCCCACACTCTCATTTCACAATCTTTACAAAATAATTTCTTCTGTAGCTTCATCATGTGTAACTGGTATCACAGTAAAGAGTTCACAGTCAGAAACATGAGCAAAACCAGCTGTTAAAATTTTGTGAGGAGCATACAAAGTTCCACAGGAATAACTCAATGTTCCAGCTCATTCCCTGCAATTAAAGACAGTTTATGATCCAGGGAAGTTCAGCTGAAGGAATTTAAAGGCTGGCCACCAAAACAGCAACACCCATGAGCTCCCCTGACCCAACACCATGACACAGGAGGTACCACGAGTTTGGGAACAGAACAAACCACACAATGTATAACTTATATAGTTTAAGGTTTGCTCCTTTTAACATCAGAACCCTTCTACACACAAACAAGCTGTGCAGCTGGCCAGGAGTAAAGCATTTTAAAGGTACAATAAAAGAAGCCACATCCTGTTCTACATTTATGCAGCGACAGCATGAGACACAGCAATAAACCACAGAGATGAGTACAAAGTATTTTCTTCCTGCCTTCTCTCTCATATAGCTGCATAAAACACAGTTTTACAGAATTTGGGGATACAAGTAAGCCATGCCTATGCATTTATTAAACCCAGATTCTTACAAAATTGGGTAATCCATCAATCCAGAGCAGTTCACCACAGTCACCCGGCCTCAGCACCTGGAATGCCGACAAAGCCAGCCCTGGATGTGCCTGGATGCACTGGCAGGGGGCTGAAGGGTGGGAGCAGAAAAGCCGGGAACAAAGGAGCGGCACATTCACCCCTAACAAAAGAGACCCGTCAGAATTCATTACCGCAGGAGCTCAGCACAGAGCCACAGAACCCTCCCACCTCAAACGCCGCGGGTTTCACAAAGAACCCCGCCGTGTTCTGCCCTGCGCTGGGTGCCCAGGGGAGCAGGGCCCGGCACAAAGCGCAGCAGGGCCCGGCACACGAGCTCTGCCCAAGGGCACCGCTCATCGCACCCTCCTGAGCCGCCCAAAAGGGGAGACACGCCAGCCCCGGTGCGGGGTGTCCCCGCAGGGCTGGGAGGCTTCGGAAACGCGGCTTTTCGCCAGCGGGCAGCCGATATTCCGCCCCTCCACGGCCGAAGCTCGGCCTCCGCCCCGCGGGAAGCGGCTGCGGAAGCGGCCGGCTGAACCACAGGGAGCGGAACCGGCTTCCTGCAGACCTGGCAGCGCTCAAACCCCACCGGGCCTGCGCCGCTCCCGCCCGGGGCCCCGCTGGCTCCCCGGCACCGAGGCCCGGGCTCCACCGGGCTCCACCGGGCTCCACCGGGCTCCACCGGGCTCCCCGGGCCGGGCCCGCCATGGCCGCCGCCGTTACCGGGGCAACGCCGCCGCTCCCGCGAGAGCGCGCGCAGGAAGTGACGCACGGAACGCGCGGGCGGGACGCGTGACAGCGGCGCGGGGATTCCGAACGGAGCAGCGGGAGGTGAGGGAGCGCCGGGACACCGGGACAGGGGACACGGGGACACCGGGACAGGGGGACACCGGGACAGGGGACACGGGGACACCGGGACAGGGGGACATCGGGGACACCGGGACACGGGGATAGGGGACACCGGGACAGGGGACACCGGGACACCGGGACACGGGGATAGGGGACACCGGGACAGGGGACACCGGGACACCGGGACACGGGGACACCGGGACACCGGGATAGGGGGACACCGGGACACGGGGACACCGGGACAGGGGGACACGGATACGGACACCGGGACAGGGGATACCGGGACACGGGGAGCACGGAGACACAGGGACACCGAGAACCCCGGAGCTCAGGGGTCTGGGACCGCCGGGAACTCGGGGACACAGGGATATGAGGACACGGGGTCACAGCGACAGAGCACACGGGGACACCGGGACACGGGAGCCCCGGAGCTCAGGGATCAGGACCGCGGGCCGGAACGGGCGGTCCCGAGTGCCCGTGTCCCTGTCGCTGTGTCCCCGTGTCGCTGTAGCAGCCCGCACCGAAGGTTCGCACGGGCCTGGGGTGGCAGGACAAAAGGAGCGGCTGCAGCCCGGCTGAGTGCAGCGGTAGGTGCGGTATTGGGAAGAAATTCTTCCCTCTGAGGAGGGTGACAGCTCTGGCACAGGGCGCCCAGAGAAGCTGTGGCTGCCCCATCCCGAGTGTCCAGGGGCTTGGCATAGTGGAAGGTGTCCCTGCCCACGGCAGGGGTTGAATGAGGTGAACTGCCAGGTCTCTTCCAGCCTTATCATGGCACGATATCACCAGGACAGCAGGTTCAGCATGGTCTGCCCTTCCTTGCAGGCAGCTCAGGGAAGGAGCCATGCCCAGGATCACTCTGAATGGGATCACAGTGGATTTCCCCTTCCAGCCCTACCCATGCCAGGAAGCCTACATGGCCAAGGTGCTGGAATGCCTGCAAAAGGTGAGCGAGTGTCCAACTGTGTGTCATTGCTAACTGTACTAAATGGTTTCTCTAAAAAGAGGTTGTCATAATTCAAGTTTTCTTTACGTGCTTTGTATGCTTCCTTTCCAAATCTTCTCTGACCTTTTACTTGTATTTTTATTTTACTCTATGGTAATGAAAATCATGGCTGGCAGGTGGCAGTCAGTAGAAATATAGATGGGATGTTCCTGCCTAAACTGGGAAAAAGAAGAAAGGCTGCTTGTATTCATGCAGTCTGTTCTTGACGGATTACAGAATCATGAATGGTTTGGGTTGGAAGGGACATTAAAGCTCACCTTGTTCCACCCCCTCCCACGGGCAGGGACCCCTTCCACCATCCCAGGCTGCTCCAAACCCCCTCCAACCTGGCCTTGGACACTTTCAGGGATGGAGAAGCCACAGCTTCTCTGGACAGCCTGTGTCAGGGCCTCTCCACCCTTACAGTGAAGAATTTCTTCCTATTCTCCAATATAAACCTACTCTCTGTCAGTAGGACTCCATTCTTCCTTGTCCTGTTACTACAGGTCCTTGTAAAAAGTCCCTTTCCATGTTTCTTGTAGCCCCCTTCAGAAACTGGCAGACCCCATTTAGGTCATCTTGGAGCCTTCTGTTCTCCAGGCTGAACAATCCCAATTGTCTCAGTGTTTCCTCATAGGAAGGATTTGGTCTTATCTTGTTAATATTTGGACTATTTGTATAATTTTCCATTTTCTGTGCAAGAGGATAATTTTAATGAATGAATGTCAAAATAATAAAATGTTTTTTTCACAGTAGTGCTCTTTTTTTTTTTCCTGGACACATCTTCATGGTCCCTGTTCTGAGGGACTAAGCAAGCTTATTGTGGGAGCTGTGGCTTTCCACCTGGCTCTGCTGTGGATCACAGTACCTGCTTGGTGCCTCCTCTCCTCAAACTGATAGTGTTGTGAGCTCATGATAGAAATTCCTTTCATACACTTGAGCTCAGCTGCTGCTTTTTTCCAATTTTTAGTATTGCCACACACTTAAAAATTGTAACATCCTGTAGGTTGAGGTGTTCCAAGTGCTGACCAAGTTCTGTGCCTAAACTGGCATGGGATACAACCTTAATCCTAAAGGAAACCAGCACTCTGTTAACTGGGAGCCACTTTCTGGGTTGGTTTTTCAATAACTTCTCATATTTTCATTTCATTCAGTATTTTATACTGAAATGTGACACACTCCAATGGCTCTAAGAGTGGAGAATTGAATTCCTGTGCTAAATAAATCTGTTGGCTGGTTCTGGGTGTTTGATTGAACCTCATTAAATTAATTAGAGGGTCCTAGAGTCAATTAGACCTCGTGTGTGGGTGTTCCTTGGTGGGGCTGCCAGCTGGTGTTTGCTCCTTGGCAGAGGACATGCAGTGCTGCACCACGATCTGTCCTGCTGAACCCTTAAATCCCTCTCTTATTTCTGTCCAACACAGAAGGTAAATGGCATTTTGGAGAGCCCCACAGGCACAGGGAAGACCCTGTGCCTGCTGTGTTCCACCCTGGCCTGGCGGGAGCACTTCAAGGACACCATCTCAGCCCGGAAAATCGCACAGCGCATGAACGGCGTGGAGCTCTTTCCTGACAGACCTGTGTCCTCCTGGGGCACTGCTGCCACAGATGGAGATGTCCCAAGTGAGTACCACCACCTCTGCACTCAGGGGTGGTAGTCAACACGTGCTTTTATCTGTCTTTTATAGTAAATATACAATTATACAAGCTACAGAGCTGTTGTTGAGCAGCTGAAGCACAGTTTCACTGTTTTATACATTTTCAAGGTGTTTTACCTAGTTTGAATTTTTCTTGGAGCTCATTTAGTTCTTTAGTTTCTTAGAAAAACCATTTAGCTCATTTTATGTATGTGAATAGTTAGATGACAGCATTTCCTGCTGTCTCTACAAGGCAAACTGTTACCATAGTACCAGCTGGGTAAGGAGGCTAAGAATATCCCTAGTTCTCCTTTCTATGCTTATAATGTCTTTCTGCTTTTTTTTCTCTTCTGTTTGGCAGCTTATTACACTGACATTCCAAAAATAATATATGCCTCCAGGACTCATTCCCAGCTTACACAGGTCATTAATGAGCTAAAGAACACAGTGTACAGGTGAGTATGATTTAGGGTCGTGTCTTTATTCAAAGAAAAAGGTAGTGAAACGCCTCTGGTGTACTTATTGTTTGAACTTTTGATAAAAGATGATATCCAGAGAAATATAGTTTCTTTAATGTGCACGTTTAGCACCTGGTTTTCTTTGTTGATGGGTTTGGTTTATTTTAATACTTCACAGCTTCTCTCCTCCAGTCATAGAGTTTGCTGAATTTAGTCTGGTTTTGGTTTTTTACTTGACACATTAACTTATAAAATTACCTTTTTTAATTTTTGCTCTTTCTATTTTTCTGGGGACATTTTTTTAAGGCAGTGGGAAGCCATTACCAAGTTGCACTCCCAAGGCTGATGTAAATCTATGAAGAACTTTGTGGTTTTGTTATACCAGTGCCTGTCACAGTTTTCAGCTGTTCACATGCCAGTGTGTGGCTGAGCTCTTTGGACAGGCATAGTCATTTGTTTATGTAGCTCTTGGAAAGACACAACCTTGTAATAACCAGAAAAGTTCAAACCATGGTGAATGTTTATAGTGAACCAGTTCTGTCCTAACCTTGCTCTGAACATCACAACCAGCTTGGAAAAGCTTGTAATGGATGGCAGGCCCCAGCTGCCTGGGCTGAGCTGTCATAACAGAACCCAGATTTTATGGTGGATGGTGTAAATTGCTGCTTGTGACTTCTTGCTGTGAGCTGCTGCTGCTCATTAACACCCACTGCTGCCAGCAGAAATGCAGTGCCTCAAAGTCCAGTAACACACACAGCAATTACAGACAGACTAATTGACTTGTTCTGGCTCTGACCCTTGCTTTGGGCTCATCTGTTTCTCCTGAATCTTTCACTTTTGAGATATTAAATCTAAGCATGTACAACTCTGTTCTTTCTTGCCTTATTTTTAATGTCAATTTTGTGTATCCAGGCCAAAGATTTGTGTGCTGGGATCCAGGGAGCAGCTCTGCATCAATCCTGAAGTGAAGCGACAGGAGAGCAACCACATGCAGGTGAGATCAGAGCCTGGAGAGGATGTTCAGGGAGAACATGGAGGCTTTTGTGTAATTTCTGTGTCATTTTTCACTCTGACATTGTTTAACAACAAGAGACTGCAGGGAAAAGATAGTAGTTGAAAATGTATTTTTAGGAGTGTTTAGTTTCCAGTTTTGTGAGTGCAAAATGTAATTCTGAGTCTCTGGTGACGTTTTCTATCCAGAGAAAGATGTCACTGTATAGAACATGACAGTTATTAGTTTGTAGTTTCTGATCTACTATTTATGTGTTTGTCAAGAGAATAATAAGTTCAAAACATTGCGTAAGTTATTGATTTAGCTGTTATTTTTACAATATGAAAGATTATTGTTTTGAAAAGTATTAATGGTAAAATATAACACATTTTTCTCTGAGCATGTGAGTGTTCTGTGCTGCAAAAAAAAAGAGCCTAACTTGCAAGGCGAGCAGGACATGTGGTTTTAAAGCTGAAGAGCTGTGATTAGCATTTCTTCATTTGCTGGTGTTAGAACTGATTTCACTCCTTACCCTGCTTTCAGTGCCTGACAAGCTCTGCTACTCTGGGCTGAAATAGGCTTTGTTTTACAGATCTACATGTGCAGAATGAAAGTGATGGCTCGTGCTTGTCATTTCTATAACAATGTGGAAGGTGAGTGTGGCTCACCTTAACCTCCCCTGGAAGCAAAGCCCTGGATTTGGAGAGGGATGGATTTGCTAGGCAGGTGGAGAGGTTTGGAAGAGTTGGCAAAATCCATCTGTGTTTTTCTCTGTTACTGTCTTTC